GAGCCGCTGTACCTGACCTTGAATATGTTTTCCAACAAGTAGTATGAAGGGAATTTTCCCAGTGATTTTTACCCCGTACATTTTTCTTGATTTTCTTCTTTAATGAGAAAAGAGATTGAGTGGGCAGAAAAATCTGATGTCAAGGATCATTTTAGAAACTGTTTAGAAGATGGTGGAGACAATTTATATAGACTTTTCTACCTAAGCAGCATGTCTGCACTGCAGAACTTGCCGAAGTCCCCGCTGGGAATCATCCTGCCTTCTCTCGGAATAAAAAACGAACTGCTGGTTCCTGTTCAGATCACCCTTAACCCTCAGAAGAAATGAAGGGTTTTTCCTCCCTTTATTTAAATCTATTTAAAGATTTATAAAGCTAGATCTGGTAAGCTTTGATTTAGGTAACAACTGTGGCCAAACAGTAATTTTCAGTGTTGAAACTGAATATGCCCTTAAAAGGTCACACAATTCTGTCTTCCTAGGATTTGTGTCCATGGGCCTCTATGTTATGCTTCTCCAGGTAAGAAAAAATGATTATAGTCCTGTAATTGGGAAAAGAATTTGTGGCCAACCAAAGGAGATAGAGTGGATTTCTCCAATCATTTGATTCTCTTTCTTGAAGAAATTGGGTTGCCACTATAGATTTAGACAGATGATTATAAATGTTGATTTTATTTTACTTTTTAGTGTATATGGTTCCCTGCAAATCTTTTAAAAAAATGCCGTGTATTGAATATTGTTAATCATTAATCATTCCTTCCAATGTCTCAGGACATTTTACCCAGTGTTCGTTTCTTGATTCCCTTCTGTAAGTGAGAAAAGAGGCTGTAAAAATAGGCTGAATCAATTTTTATGAAAATGGCCTATATGTCAGCGTTATTGAAAGTAGTGAACAATAAAGATAAATAAACTTTGGTAATATATGGGGCGGGTATAAGGTCCGCGTCCGGTTTTAAATTGCACATGAACTTTACGGCCACCCCGTGTATTTCAAATCAGTTAATAGCATCGCCTAATGGTCTACAAATTCAGCATAACTATATTATACTGCCAATTTTTAAAAGAAGCAGTTTAGGGATTTCCAATTCATTTCCATATATGGCAATTACATTAGGACATTCGACTACAAGAAATTATTTTAGCTTCTAAAATGCGTCAAAAGCAGATTCTTTAAGTGAAAGTAGGTGTTCCAAGCACCTGTGTACACACTTGCTTTTATATCTTAAGACACAGATGAAGTTTTTCTGAAAATTCCTGAGAACAGATAAAGATCCACAGATGATATCACCATTATACATAACATATTATTTTTCTTTATTTATAGTAACCTATTTTATTGAGTTATAAAATTCTTGAAATTTTTACTTCTCTGTGTGTGTGTGTGTGTGTGTGTGTGTGTGTGTAGCACTGGGTAGACAAAACATTACAGGCCCTAACTGACATACTACTTAAAAGGAAGCCATGTTATTATATAATAGAGAATACCTTAATTTGACATATGTTTACTTGGTCATCTGGTAAACTTGCCTTAATCTCTAAAGTTTAGATAGAAGATTTTAGGGTACATGATTATCTTCCATCCCACACCTAACCTTGTGGAGAATACTCACATTGATCATTCTAATGTACCTCAATCAGAACTTATTTTTCAAAGAAGTCAAATAATAATATATTTTAATCATAATCTATACTCATGTACAGGCATTTTCCCTAATATGAATTAGTTATATAAACCCAATGTTAAATTTAAATGTAGTACAGGGTACTAAAATTATAAAGCGGCACAAAATTTTGGAAATATAAAAACTTCATATTAAATTCCTACTGATAGAAATGTCATTCTCAATGAACATTTTCTTTCATAGTGTAAGATTATTGTTCTAATTTGTGTTGAGGGCCTGACGCTTAAGCCAAACATGAATAAGCTTAGCTCTGTCCTCTGAAGATGGCTATTTCAAACACCAGAATGCAGTGTTGGAAAAATGGCTTATGAGTGTTTGTTATTCCCATAGGTGTTTGCAAATCATATTGATTTGATCAAGTCATTGGAACAGGAAAAGAAATTATAGTATTAACTCTTTGAAAGAATTATAAATTGAAAATAATCCATTAGGTGATTTAGTAACAATAAGGAATTATACTTGATATAGTTTTGCACCATTATAATTTATGCTATTGACAATATCCATTGAATTTTATTTGTTTGGAAATGGGGCATACTATAAGGTTATTAATGCTGCATAAAAGTGTTTAACTAGAGTAAACCTAGCTAATTTGCAATATGAAATTGAGCTCATAAGACTTTTAAATATACAAATACACCTGTACAACTATAATTTATGTAATTTTTAAATAATTTATTTCTAAGGGAATAATTATAAGGAGACACCCCAATTTTTTCTATGTATCCTCTTTGTAAAATCATTTGATTATGATTACAGTAGAATAAATATATTTCAATAATATTCTCTTTAAATACTGTTTGAAAGCCACCCGGCCTGTAGTTTTTTCTTATGTTTCTTTTTAAAATGAAATGGTAAAATCCCATAAAGTCACAAAATAGTAAAATTAATATTTAGCAATATTACTTAACTTAAACAGACGAAAAAGCCTCCCCTTCTGTTGCTGTTTAGAGAATCACAGTTTCTTTTAAATATGCATTGAATCATAAAGTAGGCTGAGATGCTGGTTACCAAGGTTCACATGTAATACTTAGTAAATTACAGATCTGAATATTGCATTTTCAGGAAGAAACTTATTTGTCACTATAACAGTAGTTTTCTCTTTTTTTCAAGAATTAATAACCGTTAAAAATGTATTCTCCAAAAAATAATATTTTACTTAAACTTTGACATTAAAAAGCTACTGTTTGGAAATTCAAGGCATGATTTTTAATTTACACTTATGTTGATCTTATTATCTCTAATTTTCAAAGTATTTCAGCAGTACTTGTTCTAAGCTAATGTCTTAGCGGTTCTGAAGAGAAATAGTGAAACAATTCAAGTTAAAGTGAACCAAATTTTCTTCACATATTGCAAAGTAAATATTAAGTGTTGGACATAGACCAATCACTTTATATGATTTACCTCTGTTAATCCTCATAATTACCTGATTAAATAGGGAAATCTTTTACTCCTTTTCATTGGTGAATAATTGAGATTTAAAAAGTCGTGATCCAAATTACCTAGATTTGTGTCAGAACTTACATTTGGACCTACGTCATTTAACTCCAATCCCTCACTTCAGTCAATAGCTGTTGTATTTTGTTCTTCAAATGGTGACAACCAGAATGTCATCCCATCAAAATAAATTCATTCAAACTGAGTGAAGGAGGCATTGAGATAATTCTGATATCTGTGATTGTGCATTGAATTACAGGGGCTGCCATCAAGTTTGGCACATTTTAGGCATTCTAGGAAGTCGTCATTCATAGTTTTATCTCAATAAACAGCTGCAAGTTCAATGCACTTCCATACTGCACCAGTGACCTTGACACACTCTGAGCTGACGTTCCTAGGGAAGCATGAGGGTGACGGAGAAATGCTGTCACTAAGGAGGTGACTCTATCAGCGTGCATGTCACAGCTCCCTTCTGCTTCCCCACACCACACACATGGTTTTGATACACTGTAGCAGATCGCTTCCCTGAGGATTCCCGTCTGCTCTCTGCCTGAAGCCTGGGGTATTTCATGCCTGTTCAATTAAGAAAAATGGAAGGAATCTCTATACTGACATCTAAAATCTCTGGGAATATCACCTCCTACTGTCGTAGACTCTGTTACACTTGAGAAGGGGAAGGCAAGGCTGTTTTTAAGATAATATGAGTATCTTCCAGTTGTATAGTATTTTGGTAATGTTCCAATTAAGAGATGTTCCAATTAAGAGATGTTCCAATTTGACCCCAATTAGGGTCTCAAAAAGAACAAGGATCCTAAAACTCTCTAGGTGAAGTTTTGACCCAGTGAAATGTTTTTAGAATAATTTTTGAGTGAAATGAAAAATTATATGACATATTTTATTCTTTACAATTTTAAGTGAAAAGTAACAATTGTGAAAAGATTTCCAAGTTATATATACATACTTATGTACACACACATATATATCACTATACATATATATACACACACACATATCTAATGCCTACTGTTAATCTAATTTGCATCCTCAGGGTTACTTTTGTTTGCTTTTCTTTCCTTCCATAAGGCATTAACAAAGTCAGTTAGGTTTGGTCCAGATTTCAGTATTCACTATGTGTGTGTGTGCGTGTGTGTGTGTACAAATAAATTTGTAGAAATGTACAGAATCATTTGGAAAATAATCGTACCTCTGAATTTGCAAATCCTTAGATGAACAGCTGAATTAGCTTTTCTGGACTTCACAAAAGTGTTCCTAGAAATTCTGTTCTTTCTTGCTTGCTCCCATTAGCCACACATACCAGTCTCTCCTCTGTGCTTAGCAGAATAATGTTTAATGATTAATGAGGAAAGTTAACAACAGTATCAGTGAGGGGATGTTAATGGCAGGTAAGTGTTCCAATTGCAGCTGCAGGATTGGGGGTGAGGCGGCAGGGCAGGTGCATGAAATGTGTCTACATACATGTGAGGTACGATGTGGGGGGTGAATGCCATTCACCTGTTTAAAAATAGCAGCAGAGGAGCATTTAACACTCACATTCCCTTTCCCCATCTGCCTTTAAACTCCAGTATATTCTGATGGTTGAAAAACTAAGAACATGGAGACTCTGAAATTTAACATGACACAAAGCAAAGAGATGCGATCCCTTGCAGGGTGATGAAATCCAGCCCTAAGGTATTCAAGAAGGAAGTAGTCAGGAACATTAGGGGCCGGAATGTTTTTGTAACCTGAAACTTGAGGTTTTCCAAGGAATATCCTGAGAAACAGCCATTTGGTTTGTAGTTCTAAGTAGGTATAAATAGACACTGGACATCCTTGTCTTCTAGCAATGGCGACTACCCAGTTTACTAAACAACAGGTACGTGGAGTACGTGTGTGGGCACGTGCATAAATAGATCGTCTTAAAAAGGAGTAATCTGGAATGCCATATTTTTGTAGCTTTTGTCCTTGGGATCATAGCCTGGAACATGGCCCAGGCTTTCTCTTCTGAGTCCGTTCTGTAAGACAGATTCAGCTTCTTGTTTCCAGGCGCTGTCATTCTCAAGGTTTTCCTGAGGAAAGTGGAAAATCACACAGTAACAAGACAGTCTTGAAGTATCCCAAGTAAAGAGGAAGGAATCTCACTTGGGCCTTCCCTTCAGAAAGGATACATAAGTACAAGAGAAGTACAAACAACTCTGACCCAAGACGCTTCCTAATTGGTAACTTTGATAATCCACATGGGTCCAATTTCTAATGATAACAACAAAAAGAATAATTTGTTGAGCATTTACAATATGTTTTATGTTGCATGAAGAACTTTATACATTTCCCATAGAACACAGAAATCCTGTGAGATCGTATTAATGCCTTACAGGAAGACACAAGCCTAGGTCTCAGATGGTGGTGGCCCCCTTCCAACCTATGAATAGAAATGTCTCTTGATAACTAGGGCACCTGTATGCAAATTCCCCTGGAGACTGTTCAACATTATTTTTTTGCAAAGGAGCCCAACAGTGACATACTATTTCCTCCCACTCTTAACTCCGCCTTGAAAACAGGCTGCCTGCATCAGCAGAATTTATTCCAGGAAAGTCTTGCCCAGGAAGATGAGTATGTAAACCAATAAATAATTGGATCTATTGTTTCTAGAACTTCCTCAAAATTTACTAATAAAACTATATATATACACAAACAATAACAATCAGATATAACCAGATGTCTTCTCACTAAAGTAACAAATTGGCCACCCGGGTGAACAGTCCCCTTCTCAGAAGTATAGATTGTTCAATGGGGCAAACTCCTTGCTTATCAACCACTATTTACTTACAAAGAATGACTTCAGGACCCTTACCCAGCTGAGTTCTCCAATTTTAAACTTTTACATCACAGTTTTGCCCAGTACCAAGGAGCACCTTGAATTTAAAGATCTTCCCTTAATCACTTTAGCTCCAAACCCTCTAGATATCTGCACCTAGCCTTCCATCTGAGCCTCTGCCAAGGTAGTGCTTTCACCTGCCCCAGTAAAAGTGTTAATTCAGATTTATGTCACACATGCTCTTTAGGTGCTTTCTGGGAGGACAGCCCCAACAACTCAGAAATATATGCATTAATGTACACAGCTATGATATGATTTTAAAAAAAAAGAAAGAAAATTCAGGAATTAATCCCTCCATCAAAATCAAAGTACATACTGACTTGGTATAAACAGGTACCATATTTCAAATATAAAATCTCCTTATATTCTAAAAATAAAAAAAGAAAGAAAGAAAGAAAAGAAATACATGTGATGTGACAAGGGTTAGGAGTCCCTTTCCCAGAGTCCTAAAAGAATAAAATGGGACTAAAAGAGTGAAAATAAGTTTGAACTAATAAAACAAATAAAATAACACTCTTGCCCCTGATCCAGCTGGGAGGATAGACACTGATAAGACCAGGTATAAACTTAAGGGGGAAATATTCCTTCTCCCAATGTCCTGCAGTTATGAAATTCCACAGAAACCCTTTGAGGGATTATTGCATGATGCTCCTCCAGATAGCTTGTTTTTCCTTTTCCTCTTCCCTAGACCCCTCAGAATCCTTCCGAGAGAGCCCAAACCTTTTAAAAGACATGCCTATCTTCCCTCTGGGGAAGGGTGGCATTCTCCAGTTCCACCGCACCAAGCCAGCAATTCTGTCTGACTGCAGGCTGGTCCTTGGTGATTTTTGGCAGAGAAGACCTCAGTAGCACTTGCGAATGTCCCTAGTCCTGCCTGACCACACTGTGGTGGGAGAGAGCGAGCTGTGGGATGGTAGCGGGGGAGTTAGAAAGTTAGGGGTATCTGCTGCTTCTTTGCCTATAAATTCCCTCAGTGAAGCATACTTTATATTTACACCCCATGGAACTATACTCCTTGTTGCTCTGTGTAATTCCCCCCACTACTTCTCAGATAAGAAAGGCTGAAGTTCAGAGAAGTTAAGTAGTTTACTCAGGACAGTAAGTCATGGAACCTGGCTAAAGCCCAGGGCTGTCTGACCCTAAAGCTTATGCTTTTAAGCATTATAGTAGTCAGTGCCCCCTATTCTGTTCCCTTTTTATTATTCATTTTTATATTTCTCCAAGAATTTGCCTTCACAGGGGTTAAAAGGAACTTTGGAAATGGATCATTTGCCAAGCCAACAACTCAGCCCCCAAATACTTTCACCTGTCTGCGTATTTGTTCAAAACTAGCTGGTGTGATTGACAGCCAGATTCTTTCCAGTTGTAACACTCAGCGCCTTCCCTCCCCACAAGCCCACCCTTGAAGCTGGTTCAAATGGTCCGTGAAAGGGGAGTCAGTACAGTAGGTATTTTAGAAGCACAAACATCAGCTCACCTGCTCTGTCCCACTGTCGTGCTGAACTCCACACCAGCACAGTCTTTTGTATTTCTTAGACCAAAAGCAAAACAAATTGCAAACTGGCCTAATTAACAGTGGTTGAATATTCTCCCCTCTTTCATGACCTATAAACAAAAGAAGAAATGGATTAGGTGGTTGCAGGCAGGCCTCCTTCAGGGATGTAAACATTGTCAACTTGAGCACTAGCTTCCTTTTTAGAGTGAGGATGAAAAACGTCCTGACTGGTTCACAAACAGCAATTGCGTGGCTGTGCGCCCGAAGGGGCAGGAGTCAGTATTTAGACATCCACAAATTGTCAGATTAGGCGAGTTCATGGCTGTGGAGTTAAACAGAGAAAACGTACTTATTTTTTTCCGTATGTATCATGGAAAACTCTACCAATATGCTCCACAGCCCAACAAAAGGGATAGCAGGAATTATATAATTTCTTCCTTTCAAAAGCTCTCATTTCTTAGCCAAATCAGATATATTCAAGATCATCTAAGTTGGTATTTGTGAAATGAGTCAGTGAATTTTGACTGTTTCTTCTTCCTTTCGTCCTGCTATCTTGGACAAGTAATACCCTCATGCTCCTCCCAGCTGCTCTAGACCTTCATCACACCTCCTTCTGCTATCCTGAAAACACACCTGTTTAATATCACATTCTTTCAAATCCTGCAGTGGAACAAGACTCACACTGACATTCCAGCTGAGATTTAGAGGGTGGCGATGTTTCTGGTCCCAGAACCTTTGCAAATCTGGCGTCATGATGACTATTCACTGATAGTCAATCTCATTCCACGCTAGTCATTAATCTGATAGCCAGGTTAGTCTAAAAGTCCCTGGAGGGAGTGCTGGAGCACCGGTTACACAACTGATCAACTTCCTCCCTATGTGCCTGACACTGTGTCCATCCACAAGCTTTTTCTCAAATTTCTATCTAGAAACAAACAACAAAAAAATGTAGATTCTTGAAGTTTCAAATTGAAATTAAAGTAATATATTTAATGTATTCCCTGGTATTATATCTCCCAGACAAAAGAAAAATACTTGACCAAAGAGAATTCTACCATTACTATTGAAAATATTGATCAGTTAGTATCGTCTACATACTAGGCACATTGCACATAGCTTATCTTTAATTTCAGTAAGTAGGAAGGCATCATTATTCTCATTTAATGGATAAGAAAATGATTACCTTTTCCATGCTCTAGTAAGTGATGGGGACATATGTGATCTTAGCACCTGTAACTCAACATTTGCCTTCATATGTGTCTGTGTGTGGATGGGGAAGGAAAGATTACAAAACCTCAAACTTCTACACAAGAGAAACTCTGAATTAGAATTTAAGAATCAGAATTTGTTTGGGGACAAAACCATTTCAGGGTTTCAAACAGAGAAAACTTTCGTATCTGAATGGATCAAAAAAAATATCAAACACTCCAACAGACGATGCATATCTATTATCTCTAAGAACAGGGCCTGAGATTTGCTAAGAAGGAAAGAATTCTGCTTCATGGGGATTTACATTGCTTCCTTCTATGGAAAAAAAAAAAATGACTTTGGGAGATAGTAGACAATAAAACAAAGCAGAGGGCTGTCGTTCTCAGAGGCAGAAAAGTTAAAAATGAAAATGCAACTCAGCTTCCCAAACTGGAAGCTCTACAGTCTACAGAGTCTACAGTCCCTTTGATGAGCAAGACCATGGAGGTTGAATATCAACAAGTTGTTGAGAAAACCAGTTGAGACCAGGTTTATCACAAGACTATGGGACTCTGGACATATCATGTGAAAAAGAAGAAGGTGATACCATTTCCTGTAGAGAAAGAGTTGGTTTTTCCTAAGGAAAAAATGAGTTCAGGTTTGAAAAGAAAATGCAGTAGCAAGTTTGGGTGAATCTGAAGAAGGTTCCCAACCTCTGACTAATAACAAAGTACTAATTCTACTTGCAGAAGTGCAGCCCGTAATAGAATCTATCCCTTACTTGTCCCTTCTACTGGACCCCCTTCTGCAAGGAACAAACCCCAAAGCCCTATGCGGGAGCCCTGAATAAGAGACATAGGCTTAAATTGGAAGTCAGGAAAGCCAGGATAGGAGTGGGAAGGATTCGATGGGGAGCATAACATTTAAGAAGCCTAGGAGTAAAAATATCCATGAAGTTCCAGCAGAGAAAGGTGCGTATGTGTCTATGTGTTATCTTTGTATGACAGTGGAGAGAGAGAATGAAGGTAGGTCACAGACAAGAATCAGAAATCAGAATTGCATTAGGTTTCTCCGCAGCCAACTGAAATCTAGATGACGACTGAGCTACAGTACATCATCATAGAGACCTACACAATTTCCGACTATTTAGAAAGTAAATTTTTCTGACAAGGTCAATGATCCAAACCAAAGATTCAAAATTTTTCTTTTTTTTCCTGTCAAGGTCTACATAGTAAATAGTTTATTCTTTGTTGGACAGAAAGGTCAGAAGGTCTCTGCTGCAACTATCCAATTCCGCCTTTGCAGAGTGAATCAGCCGTAGTCAATAATAAGTGGAGGAGGATGGTGTGTTTCTATCAAGTTAAAAAAGAACAGTGGTAAGCCAGATTTAATCTTATGTTTTTGAACCTGGATCTAAAAAATAATGGGCTAATCAGTAAATGCTTTATAGCTGAGACCTGAAGCTTGGTGATAAATGACAAAAAATAATTGGTAAGATTCAGATGAGTATGGACCACTATACTCTGACATATGTAAGTCACATGTCTTTGAGGGGCAAGCTTATCTGAAGGAAGCAAAATTGAAATCATCACCTATCAAGACCAAGCAAGAGGAAGATAAAACATGACACAGGAAGAGTAGACCCATAACAGGTGTCTACGCATCCTTGCTGGCACTGTTCTACCTTTAAACATTTTATAACATTTTTAAAAGTTTCAGTGGGCATTGTGAAGGTTTGTGAAAGCTCCATAGTGATGGAACCCGAAGGCATTAGGTTATCAGTAGGACCTTACTTGGAGGACAGGTACCAGCAGGCCAGAACACATTGTGGCCAGGTTCAGTAATGTTTCCACAGACTTTGAGGCATGACTAGGCTCTGACACAGTGTCCACTTTTGGTCTTGAGGATATCTTACTATGACTTAAGTCACTCGAAGAAAAGGAAAATATAGAGATTGATACCAGGACAGTTGCTCGTGCTCAAGATGCCAAATCGTTTTCAATCCAGATGTAACCTAAGTGCTGCTGCCTTCAACATGGGAATATGCCAACTCTGATGCATATCTGGAAAATGGGCCACCTGGCAAGGTGCAGGATTTCATGTACACATATGTCTTTCTTTGGAAGGAAATATTCAGGCAGCTGAAACTTCGGCTCTCGTCTACCTGGTAACTGGTCACTGCACTGATATCCCAACTTGTGACCCACTAGCATCAAGGAAGCCTCCAAAGTGGTCAGGGTCCTGAGGCAAAATCTAAACAAAATGAATAAGTAATCTTTCATCTGACACTAGGTCCATAATGAAAAATATTTGGAGGGTTGTTATTACATCAAACACTGGGGTTATAAAATTCATTTTCTATTCTTTATCATATCCAAGATCTTTAAGATCTTAAGAATGGCTAGTGACATCATGCCCCAGACAGAAGGGCTTGGGAGCTTGTCCATAGCATTCCTAGTACACCCTCACCAGAAAGGCTGCCATTCAGGCTATCTGTTGAGTGGGAATATCGACTATCCTTGTTCATGGGCATATAAGAGAAATGGAAAAGTAGAATATTTTAATAATTTATTCGGCTGAAATGCATGGCCCATCAGGAGTCCACAGTGTAACTATTTCATCCCATTCACACCGCTACTACCAATCCCTCATGGGCTCTGACACAAAAAGAACACTGAATCCTCTGAGAGACTATGGCACAAAGTAGGGCTCATAAACACTGATGTCAGAAGTGGCTTATGGGGAAGCTGCTCAATGAAGAGAACTCCAGGACCCGACAGGAGTGGCCTCCCAAGGACAATATGGACAAAAGCAGTAGCAAGACTCCTCTCCACTTTACTAGTAAGTTAGCAAAGGCTCACATCACGAGATAGCATAATGGTGGAGGGGAAAGCTCTAGTCTCTGGCTGAGACAAGGGAAAAGTACCACTCCAAAGAATTCTACCTTATTTGTGATGGTTATACATGTACTACAGAGTATATTTCATACTCAGGCCTCTGGGTGTCACATTGACAGTCAAAGCATCTTATTTGCTTCTCATAATATATGAGAGACATCTTAATATGTTCACTATTAAAGATAATACATATAGATCATTAAGGAGATGTTTTTGTATGTCACCTTGGGGAATGTAGGCATGTCTCTCTGGTAAGAAGGCATTGTGTGATGCACCTGAAATCAAGCCAAAAGCAGACACCTAGTTCACTGATGCAGGGACTAGCCCATGTCTTCTTTGGTCCCATAGGGAAGAATTATAACTAACCTGTTATGAAGCTGATGATCACTCCTGCAATGATGCATCCCAGGCAGCCCACGGCACTGTAGTAGAGGTAGGAGAGCGAGTACCAGGAGTCAGCTACCGCGGGTCTGTGGGAGACAGCAGCACATGTCACCGGTTCCATGCCTGATCCACAGCAACGCAGAGAAATTCTCTGTGTTCATTTGACGGCCTGACATTGCTCAAAATCCCAAAGCTTAACTTTCTGCCATTTTCTTATTTAAGTTGTGTTTTATATGCCCTCAGTCCAATGCATACCTGAATTACAAATATTGCAATGCGTATGCTGAATTATAATTATTGCAAGGAGGACTATGTCTTCCATTCCTTTTATAGTATTCATTCTTGAGAGGTTCATTAAACCCAGATCTAGTGCCAGGGATGGTTACAGACATTACAGAGACAAAGATGAGAAGACCATAAATCTACCTATAGGAGCTAAAATGGACTGGTAATGCCTTGGTAGAACAGGAACAAAAGATGACGGGAGAATTTACAAAGATTGTCAAACCAAGGCTGACGTGTGAGATGCTACCTCAGCTTGTTTTTAAAAGAACAATTATTAGTTAATTGATCAAAGAGAGTATGTATGTATGTATGCATATAGATCTTATCTCACATTTGAGAAGACTCAAAACCCCAGTAGACACTAACCCACTAATTTGTGGTCAAGGGCTCTGAGAATCCAAAAAGAGACAAGTAACTAACTTGTCCAAAGACAAAGAATATGTAAATGGTGAAACCAAACTCTAAACCTAAACCCAGGTATTTCAGATTTAAAAGGTCATAGTCTTCTCGCTATACCATAGGATCTGCTGTATTTTGATATCTTTGGTCATTTGTCCCCACCTGAAATAGACAAGGAAATCCTTTGTTAAACCCTGTGTTCACAGAAGTTGATTTAGAAGCCATGGGTCACAGCAGTGCTCCTAACTCAGCTCCATCATCATTCTCTTCACTGCCTGCAAACCTTTTATTCTTTTAAGCACACTATGGTCCTTACATCCACCCACTTATTTTTTCCACCCTCCATATTTTTATATTTTGCACTTATACTACTAATTAACTTTTTTTCTAAATTCTCTTTTTTACACCTGAATAGAGAGGAATGGATACCTGCAAACTGCTGGAGTCATGCCTGGCACTCTTCAGTGCTGGGAACTACGCAGAGAGATTCTTGTAGGAGAGCACCATACATCTCCTTAGACTCCTCCCTAAAGAATGCACCTCCCTGCAGTCTAGCCACCCACCCTCTGAGACTTTGGACCATGTTTAAAGTCAGCATACCTGCTGAAGAGCGCAGGAGGTATTGTTCCCGTCAGATTGGATCGGATGCACTGGTCTGTCGATAAAGGCAAGGGCCATGTCTTAGCAGCTGGTGCAGGGTAAATGAAGGCCCCAATGGCCACCCAAAATGACAAGGTGATTCCGGTGAGAAGACCTCCTAACGCACCCTGGATGAAGAAAAACAAAAAGCTGATGAGAGATTTAGCAAAGTTGACTGTTGAAAGAATAACAAAACGAGTTCTACGTCTCAGAGATTCTAGCTGTCCACCCTAACTCTTGGCCACATATGTTGGAAACCACCCCCCTCAAATGCTTTTATTTTAATCCTCACAGTGCTGTTTCATTAGGAGAAACTCATTCCTTAAATGAAGACCATGGAGAATTTCATAGTGATCATTATATTACAGTTCGAGCAAGAATTTTTGTTCTCCCTTCAGTTTCTTCCTTTTACTTTTAAAAGATTTTAACAGCTTTTTAAAAGCTATTGAAACCTCAATTCTCAATAAAAGAGTTTTAGATTTAAGGAAAACTTCAGACGAAGGCGACAAAGCTGTGGTTTTGTCATTCTTACAATCCCATCTCTCTTCCCAAGTGCTGCGGGCAGAGTCCCCTGACGCCCAAGTTTTAGAGTTTTTTGGTTGAGTGTAAATATTAGCAACTGTATTTAGTAATCCTGTCATTTAAGGTTTATACTACAAATTTCTTGGTAAAGAGTTAGTGAAAAGGCAATGAGCTATTTATCCTGTAAGGGAGACAGACAGTTTACCAGAGACCAGGCAGGACCAGTGGAAAATAGCATCCGAGGTGTCTGGTCTGCCCTGCATAGCTGGGCTACCTTCTCTGTTCTCATCAACAACTTGATGGCGTCTCCATTTATTCAGGTTTAAAAAAAAAAGTCCTTGATAGGAGCACCAGAATGGTTTCTCTTTTGTTGTCTCAGAGCACTAAATCAATGTGTGTGATGTGAATACTTGTGCCTTTGTCTAAACCAGTGGTCTGCAAACTTCTACTGTAAGAGCCAAATAATAACCATTTTAGGATTTCTGAACCGTACCAGTTCTGTCACAAATACTCACCTCTACCCTTTTTCAGCGTAAAAGCAATCATAGGCAATATCTAAACAGGGGAGGCTGGCTATAGTCCAGTCAAATTGTATTTGTGGGTATGAAAATTTGTATTTGATGCAATATTGGTATCCTAAATAATATTGCTCTTTTGAATTTTTTTCTAACCATAGAAAAATGTCAAAACTATTTTAGCTTGCAGGTCATCCCCCAAACAGTGAGCTAACTACATGTGGATTGAGGCTTATATTTTGCTAGCCCCCTGGCCTAGTAGTAGTGAGCAAATGGATTTCAGCTGGAGGGCTAACCCTGGTTGATCCATAGCAGCTGCCTAGAAACCTGTGTTGAAACAGATTCTGAGGCTGTATCCACATTGTGTGGGAAGGAGGATTGCTCAGTGGATCAGCCACAGACAGTGACAAAGGGGATATGATACAATATTATACTACCCCCTATGTAAAACAAGGCAGCTTTCATGACTAAATATAGACCGTAATGTACTAACATAAATAACAGATTAATGTCTCTTACGTAGCTAGCCCATAGGTTTATTTTTTAATTTTTTATATTTGATTATTATGGGTACATAATAGTTGTCTATGTGATGGTTTGATAGAGTCATATAATGCGAATCAATCAAATCAGGGTACTTGGGTTATCCATAACCTCAGGCATTTATCATTTGTGTTAAAAATATTCCAGTTCCACTCTCTTAGCTGTTTTAAAATATCCCGTAACTTACCATTGATTTTTGTAGCTATAAAATTGTCTTCTCTCACATTATTCCTCTGAGGACATAAACACCTTGTCAACTCCAATACCATGGAAGTGATTAATACTGCAGGGCAGGTGAAATACCTAAATGCTCACTCCTCAGCACTCTCTTTACCTGGCCTCAAAAGACTGATCTAGATGAGAGGTCAATAGGTTCAGGTAGCCACAGAGACCAATCAGGTAGCTCAAACTTTAAGGAGTACCCTGTAGTATATACTTACAAAAGCATAAAGTTAAGTTTTCTGAAGTGTAAAGATTTTCTAAAATAAATGCATAAGCATGTAAGAATGGCAATTTTGCTAGATTGAGAAAATCATATTTTATCAGTTTTAAAAGTGTGATTTTTTTATTTTTCCAAATAAATGATGATTCTGATTTATAGCTACTGCACAGTCAAGAAACCAATATTTACTTGAACATACACTACCAGCCCAGCAACGTGAGGAAAATCCAGCTATCAAAATATTCCTGGCTTGTTCCTTCTCCCCTATACAAATTAGTTAATTCATTTAATAAAGTGAGTCATAACTTTTGGTAATTATACATAGAAAAATGAAATTCATATTTTTTAATTTGAATTTTCAAAATTGCATTTCAACTAACCTGTTCCTGAATCCAGGATCTATGTTTAAAGTTCATTTTGTGAGCCCTGAATTTGGAGAGACTCAATTTAAACCTTCAAGACTTAGTTCTGATGGCTCAACATATGGTAGTTCATGACTACCTCTTCCTGTCTTTGCTTTCTGCTTCTAAGAAGACTTCGCTGTATTCAGTTAGAGGAGGACTCAGGTTCTGTTTAATTCTACCAGGGATTCTTTTCCTGGCAAAGACAAATGGCCTTTCAAAACAGGAGTGAGAACACAGAGAAAATGCTTAGGGTCTAGGCTTAGCTGGGAACTGTGAAGAGGGGTGAGGGATCCTTACCTTCCAGTTCACAAAAGGGAATATGATTCCCAGAGAGAATAAACCCAGCATTGGTCCCCCACACATTCCATGGATGCTGAGGGCGGCCTGTGGGACAAAGCAGAGCGGATGAGCTCCCTAACTCCACTGCACCTATAGTCTACAATCCCCACCCCTCCCTTGGATCTGAGATGAATTCTAATATTAGTCCTAACTGTACCATGTATTAATCACGTGCTTTCTATAAGTAATTTCTCAATTCTGAGCTCAGTGATAAGCATTGCATTAACAAAAATGTACACACACAAGGAAACACATAAACATAAATTTGTCTATGGGGATGTGTGTCTACATATACAGAGGGTTTTCCAAAAATGTATACACACTTTAAGAAAGGAAAAAACTGTAAAAAATACCCAATATTTACCAATAACAAAAGATGAATACAAGTCACTTTTGAGCACCTCTTGTAATTGCAGAAGTCAAACATGACTTGAGTATTACAATTTTAGTACAGTTTTTTCCTTTTATTTTTGGAGACAGAGTCTCACTTTGTCACCCTTAGTAGAATGCCACAGAGGCACAGCTCCCAGCAACTTCAAAGTGAGTAGCTGGGACTATAGGCACCTGCCACAATGCCCATTTTATTTTTAGAGAGGGGGTCTCACTCTTTCTCAGGTTGGTCTCGAACTCCTGAGCTCAAGCAGTCCACCCACCTCAGAATTTTTCCTTTCTTACAGTTTTTGGACACCCTCTGTGGTAGTGTGTGTATATGTAAATGTGGATAGTGGAAATATAGATAACTTGGAATTGGCAGGAAGTTCAAGTAAAACTTATTGATTTATTTATATTCTCTGGCTTATCAAAAAGCTTTTTTATTATGTACCAAGGAAATACATCTACAGTTTATGTTCCACGTATGACTCAGCTAATCAGCTGTTATAATTCACTTTGAATAATCCCAACATTTTGGTAATAGTAACTGTCTATTACCAAATCCCTGTCACCCTACACAGGACACCTCCAAGGTACAGAAGCATTAGATTGAGACTTTGTGGAGAGGCCATCAGACACTTCATATCCAATTTTGTCCCCTCTTCATACTTACGGCTTTATCTTTTTTGAACATTAAGGGAGCTTGACAAATTTATTTCCATATCTCTCTTTGATTAAATTAATTTTTTTTTCTAATCTAAAGACTTGTACCTCGTCCTTCCAACAGGAGTGAGAATATACCTGCACTGACAGGTATGCCAGTGAGCATGTGCACAGGTATCCACACACGTACCTACAACCATTGCACGTGCTTACAGACACACAAAACTACTTTCAGTACAGCCCTCACTAGTTCCATTGATTCAACTACAAGACTTTTTATTCAAGGACCTTGGATTAGAGTACTCTAAATATCTTACATAAATCTCATGTTTGTTGGGCACCACCTAGGCACTAGCTGGGAAAGATAAACTACCAAGGCACTCTAGAAAAATGGACTTCATTTCAATACTCACAGTTACCCGGTTTAATAGGTACCACTAGTTGAATTTTATAGATTCAAAAAACTGACAGAAAACATATTAAGGGTTTGTTTCCATTCAGAAAGTGGCAGAAGTATGATATGAATTCACTTTTTTTTTTTTTAGCTCTAAAACCAATATTGTCTCTTCTAAAAGCAGTTAAAAAGTCAAGAACATAGAACACTATAATGTCTTCCTTCTTTTGTTTAAAGGTATAGATTTTGAAAGTTTCTTGCTAAAAATCAGAATATTTGGATTCTAATTACAGCCCTATGTATATAACTAGGATTTGGTAAACGTCCTATTATTAGCTCACAATCCTTAAATGTCATAGTCTTCTTTCTCTATAAAAAATAAAGTTACAGGACCTAGCGGTTCAAATATCCTCCAACTGTAGTTTTTCATTGAGAAAGATGAGCTGCAGTGAATTGTTTATAACTGGTATTCCAGGTCAGCTTTAGAGAACTCTATGTTTCACATTCTTGACAAGATGAAGGCAGATTCTCTTTTTCTCCTAGAATGGATACTTAAATTAATATTCCTGAAAATTCCTCTGACAATTCATAGCATTAATTCACAGCTTCATAGGTAGCTGACTTTGGAAGCTAATTTACTAGTGATTATATAAGAGAGTCAATAAGTTAGCAAAAGTGATTTTATCTTCCCTCTTGGGAGGAAGAACTTGAAACTTTCTGCAAAGTCATTAGCCAATATACTTTAGAAAAAAAGAAAACCTTCACATGATCAAAGGTGGGAGAGGAATCCAAGATTTTCTGGTTTTAAAAATATATGTCTCTGTATTTAATTTTTACCTTTCCTTTTATTGGCATTAAGCATGTGTAACTGGAGGACTTAAAGCTCATTTGTTTCATCCTCTTCCCAATGCCCACTTACTAAGCTACTCCTGCAACTAGAAGACAATGACATTGTGCTTTGGGGTTGGGTTGTTTATGGGACTGGGGCAAGATATTCAACCTTGGTGAACCATAGTGTTCTTACCTGTCAAGCCAGAATCATCATATGTGCTTCCTGGTTTTGTATGTATATTTAAATTTTGGTTAGTATTAAATGTAGAATCTAAGAGAAAGCTCAGAATGTGTGTGCACTGTGGAGCATATTATATGGGTTCCAAAATGTTGACTATTACTATTATTGCCTTATTATTAATTCTATTAACTACCCCATCAGTGAGCTCTGATTCCTGAGACATGCCATTTGATTGTTGAACTTTTTGATATCTAAAAAGTTTTTCTTTAAGTTGAGATAAAAAACTTAATGACCCAGATATCATTAACAGCTCTTAGAAAAATTAGCTGATTGTCAAGAAGAACCTAACTAACAAATCAGTATTGAGTACACATGATACTTTACTACAGAGAATATTTTCCAAACTCACCCAGGTAAATACAAAAGATGTAAAGTCTCCATTTTTATTGGCTGAGTAGCATTTCATGGCATACATATACCACAGTAGATGAATAACTACAGGCCCAGAGGAGAGAAAAACAAAAAATTCAAGAAGAGGGGAAGGAAGAGGGGGTAGAGAGTTTGGTAGGCTCTGACCTAGTAGGTATAATGTAGGAGCATAGGGCACACCTTCTGGGTGAAGGACCCAACTACCTCTCAGAATTTACTCAGAAAATACAACCAATGTAACCTGATCATATGTATCCTTATATTAATCCAAAACTTAAAAAATAAAAAACAAATTTTAAAAAAATTTAAAAAGAATCTTTCTCTAAGGGAGCTCTGCAAATCACTACTAAACAGGAGATTTTATTTGACCTCAAACTCCAGTCTCCCTTCCACTACTCACCCTATTAAGGTTCTGTGGTCACATATTTCAAGTAAAACAGGTTTCTTTATTGTCAGATTTCCTGGAGGCTTTAATATGCTCATGTGTTCTGGTGAGCTCTGAAAGTGGAATGCAGTGTTCAGCACCTACCAAGGACTTTTGACCTTACAAACTTTCTTTCTTGGAGCATGTCACAAGATGAGGTTCTCCGGACCACACTTTGTAAAATCCTTGACTAAAACATTGAAGGGACCTTCATTTAAGGGGCATAAAGCTGTCCTCCTCCCAGCACCACCCATAGAGACACACTATGGGTATGGAAAGTTTGGGGGGAACACAAAATTAAACCCAGCCCCTTCCCCTCATACCTGTGGGGTTTGGATTCATGTAAAATATGAATGCAAAGTTTGTTTCATTAAATTCAGTATAGCAAAGCTATTTCAAAAGTCAAATAGGAGAGTAAGTTGCCTTTCTCTACCCATCAAAGTCAGATGTGTTCAGAGAAATGAGTGGGCCAACCCAAAGATAAATACCTCTCCTAGGAAATGGGTCAAGGTGCTCATTTATCACCTGCCAGTATCTCCTCACCTGTGTGAACTGTGTGGCACATACCTTGACCAATCAAGAAAGTGGGCACAGAATACACTTCTGAACCAGATCAAACAGATGAGTACATCACTCACAATTTTAACCTCACTAGAAACGTTGTTTCCCACCATCTTTGGTCCTTGCCTATTCTGGAGCCCCTTATGATTCAAGTGCAAATGAGCTTGAAATGCAAATGTCTCAAAAAGAAAACAATTTAGTGACTAAAATTGTCACCAATTGAACATGATAACACTTCCTTAAGAGTAAATACTCATTATATAAAGGGAAGAAAGTAATAGGGAACAAGGTGTCAAAGACAACTTGGAAATATAGGTCCCATGAATGGAAAAATATCATAAATCTAAAAAATGTACCTCAGGTCTCTAAAGACAAATGTCACCAACTTGCTTGTTCTTCAATGTGTATGGGTAGATATCAAAGTATTTCAACCTTGTAAATGTTGACTATCAAGCATCCGTGACAAGCTGGTCCATTCATAACTTTTTATAGAGTGCAGGCAGGATGAAGACCAAAGACCGCATTCTTGGCAAAGGAAAACACCCCCCAGAAAAAGGGAAAAACAGAGAAATAAGCTGAGCAAGGTGGAATAAAAACAGGTTAGCTAGTTTATTTTTAAACCAGCCACCAAATTCCTTATCTGAGCAGGTTCCTGCTTTTCCTAGAAGCCTTGCCTGTGAGGGATACAGCTTGCAAACACCCCTGCTGGGGCTGGGAACACTCTGAAGAAACAATGCCCATAGAGGAGGCTATAGCAAGGCCTGACAAGAAACATTAACTAGGTCGTCCCCTGCTCAGTCAACTGCCAAAGCCAGGGCAAGGATCAAGGGAACAGCTCAAGCCCTGAAATATGGGCAGGAGTGTATCCTTACAATAGAGGAAGACACCTCCAGGTTGGAGAAAAGAGGAAAATTCCTCTTTCCCACCAATTCTTCAGAGGAGATTAACACCAGTGGCATCTTCTCCACAGTGGACTAGTGGGGATTAACGTCCCCCAAAGGAACTATGTGTGAACACAGACAGGAGGCTGCCCCCACACAAGGCTCAGGGTTCAGATTTCACAAGGCTGCTTAGACCCTTAAACTTAATGATTATAAATAGAATAAGAACTAACATGCCTACTCAGAGAATCTGCTGACGTTTTTGTTCCCTTTTTCACCTTACCCTCTGGGCTAAATCAGCAAATAGCCTTCAATAGAAGCTGAGTGGAACAAACACTCAGGGCCATTCACTGTGAACCCCACAATCTAGTGATGGTCCCCTGTGTTTCTGACCTTTGAAAACTCTGTTCTCCGTGTCCTCTTTATCTCTCGCTTCTTCTAACTTTACTTTTCTTCAGTTGATGCTGCCAGCTCCACAGCTCTTAAAAGAATCTGCCCCTGGGGAGGGACCCTGGCAATAGAGTCTAATGTGTGTCTACTTCCACAAATTCCCTTGTGTAGACAAGTGAATTATCATGTCACTTAATCTGTCCCAGGAATTTTTCTCTGAATCTTAAAATAGGAATAAGGGAACCTGTGTAAGCAGTCACTGGGAGGATAAAGGAAGATACGTTGTTGTTCTGTGAACTAGAAGGTGTTTTATAAACATTGGGGATTAGTATTCATTCACTCATTCATTTCTTCATTTAAACCACATTTATTGAAAACCTATTCCATGACAAGAAAATCTAAAGGATGTTTGAATTACACAAATATGTGAGGTAGATTGAGAGGGCTAAGGTAGAATGTGAAAATGTGTTTATCTGATGCTGCCTGTGTGACTTGGGCAACTTGGGAAGAGGGAAGGGTGGCTCAGGAGAGTTGGGCCAAAAACCTGACTCAGCTGTCCACTGTGAGAAAATGGAAGGATATTTTTGCTTTTTTTCTGTAATGAACTAGAAAATTAAGGTGTTGAAAAAGATTAATTTTCTTTCCAGCACTAATATTTTATGGAACTGGGAGTTGGACATAAGGGAGACAGTTAATAACTAGAAAATAGCTGGAGGTGGGTTTTGTATCCCAGTTCTACCACTCTTTAATTGTGCAGCTTTGAGATAATTACTGTGAAACTGCTGTGAAGTCAAATGCCTCTTTTCTTTCCTTACCTGTACAACTCCCCCAAGGAGGGATGCAGCCACAGCCATAGCGGTACACATCACACCAAATAAGAGACCTGAAAGGGAAAAAGAAAATGTATCACCACAAATTTCCTTGAGGGATTCCTTAAGGTTATGCTTATCACCATCCCTGATGAAAGTCCTATCCAAAGGGATATCAGTGAGGCACCCTCTCCATTGAGCCATCCCTGGCCCCAAGAGGGGCATTTAGGAATCCTCTCTTCCAAGGACATGCTTCCTCTCAGATCAGGAAGAATGAACTCAAAACTGGCCTCAAGGGTTTTCTTTCTAGAATTCTAGAAGCAATCTGTAAAGTGAAAACAACATGAAAATATGGAAGGGGTTCAGACTATCCCAGACTAATTTAGTGGAAACCTAGTCCAGGTCAGCCATTAGAGAGGGTTTCATAGAAACCTGGGGAGTATCACCCTACAAACTAAACAATAAAAGTAAGAGGAAGAGAAAGGCCCACAGTTGCTGCAAATGCTGTGGGTTTTCACTACAGTGCTATATCAACTCAGGGGATCAGACAACAAAATACAAGCATAGGAAGAACTTCAACCTGGCATATCCATGAATATCTGCAAGAAATTGGGAATTGTACTGTCAATAAGGCCCATCTACTTGCTATCAGCTGTAACTCAGATAGTGAGTAGAATCAAAGGAAATCAACTATTCAGGCTACAATCATGATAGGCATCTATCTCTCACTGTTTAAATATAAGTAAAACAAATAAACAAAAACTCACGAAATATTAAATCCATGACAAAATTTTGCCAAATAAAAGAATTAGTACATTAACCTAAAATCTCAAATAAATAGGATGCTTTCTAGAAACCAGAAAATAAGAGTATTTAAAAATTGGCAATTTTTATATGATGCAAGAATGCATAGAGTCAACGAAGCAAAGCAGTACATTTCAAGAGAAAACAAATGCAATGATAAAAAAAAAAAAAAAAAACAGCAGGACGGGTACAACACTAACAAGTTTAGATGAAGACACATCCTGGAGTGACAAGGAAGAACTACAAGGAAATTTAAAAAGTATGATAGTTGGCCAATCAATTCTGCTCTAGTGATTCATTAAAGAGAAATGAAAACATACACACAAAAAGTATTTAAATACACAAGAGTATTCAGAGCAGTTTTATTAACAAGAATCTAAAACTCAAACAGCCAGGTCCTATAATAGACAGAGGCTATACATGTGGCATGGGCATCTACTCATCAGTAAAATAGGAATGAACTGTGGATACAGGAAACACATATAAATCTTGAAAACATTATTCTGTAAAAGGAGTCTTACAAAAAAAAGAGATGGCATACTATGTGTAATTTCATTCTATGAAATTCTAGAACAGGTAAAACTAATCTATGTTGGAAAAAATGAGAGTAATGGTTGCCTCTGGAGGACAGCAGGAGCAGGGAATAACAAGAGAGGTCACAGGAGAACATCCCAGGGTGATGGTAAAGATTTATACTTTGATACGTGGTTGGGTTATACAGGTGTATACATTCATCAACATTAAGAAAATTTACACTTAACACTTTTCCATTTTCCTTCAAGTGAAATTTTTTTGGACTAAAATAAATTTTGAAACAAATATTGAATTCTAGTTAACAATATGCATGTAGATCATTAGAGGGAAGTGTGCTAATGTCTGCGATTTACTTTTAAATATGTCAAAAACATAACGGATCAGTGGATAGACAGAGCCAAATGAATACAAGTTCATGAAAATAATAATGGACAATCTAGGTGGTATACATATGTGAGTCACAGAAATATCTTTAATCTTGGCCATAAAATTTAATTTTTATAATAAAAGGTAAAGAACAAACATATAGCAAAATTAAGATTGCTACTATTAAGAGATTTATTTTGTGGATAATTCAAAGTAACATTTAGAAAACTAGGGGTGGCACCTGTGGCTCAGTGGGTAGGGCACTGGCACCATATACCCAGGGTGGCAGGTCCAAACCCAGCCCTGGCCAAACTGCAACAAAAAATTAGCCAGGCTTTGTGACAGGTGCCTGTAGTCCCAGCTACTTGGGAGACTGAGGCAAGATAATCGCCTAAGCCCAGGGGTTGGAGGTTGCTGTGAGCTGTGTGACACCACAGCACTCTACCAAGGGCAATAATGTGAGATTATGTCTCTATAAAAAAAAAAAAAATCATTTAGAAAACTAGGAGTTCTTCAATATGCAGAGAACATGGACAAAGTTATCAAAATAAGAGAAAAATGAATGATATGAAAAACAAAGGACATAAATTAGAAGAACAATTAAGAGAAAGGGGATGGTAAGACTATTAATATTTGTAGGAAATAATCACACTTGCTAAAAAAATCAATTTAAATTTTGAGAATCAACAAGAATTGGGGAAATGGCCAGATATGTGCTTTTCAAAACAAAAACAAACAAAATACCTATAGATTTCCAACACTGAAAATTTAGAATGTTATGGGGAAACACATTACTCATAATATCAACAAAAGGAGGAGGAGGAGGAAGGAAAGAAGGAGAAAGAGAAGAGAAAAGATGAGGAAGAAGGAGGAAAAAGAAAGGGATGGAGAAGGAGAGGAGTTGAAGGAGAAAGACGTGATGAGTATAATCAATATTTAAGATAGAAAAAATAATATGATTAAATTGGAAAAAATAAACCTATCACCAGACGGAAAGCTTAGAAAGTTGTCAGTTCTCAACATATTTTCAAGTTTAATGCAATCCTATGAGACAGGGTGGTGCAGCTAAGTCACATGCAATAAATTATTTTAAAGTTAATCTGAAAGAGTAAATATGCATAGATAGCCAAAGAAAGTATGTATAAAGAAAAGTTACAACAGAAGAAATTTTAATTTTTAAACTCTAATAGGTTTTTAAAATAAATATAATAACAGAAAAAAAGTACTCACTATGATATGTTGGGGATAACAAACAGGGATTAAAATAAAAAGATACCATTTTATTTACAAAGCACATATATTTTCCCAAATCACCCATATTTTCTATAAGTAAATAAGTATATAATTTGTTTATATTTAAAAAGAAGTGAACTTTGTAAAACTACAATTCCATAGGATAAGTGCTACAGTTATAAACATAATATGCAACTCTATGATGAGGCAAGGAATGGTTAATCTCTGGGATGAGGTTATTGGGAGTTTGGTAATCAGGAATGATTATTTAGAAAAAAAATTGGCTTTTCCATAGACAAAAATGGCCAGAGTTAGCAGACCATCCCCATCGAGAGAGACTAATGTGATTATCACACAGTATCATTAAGAAATGCTATGTGATAAGTCTGTGGGGCATAGGCTTAGAACAAAGAGAGTTGTAAAATAAGGTCGGTGTAAGATCAACAACTCACCTGGCATTCTGTTCTGGTACCCTACTGGTATGTTTGGAAGTATAAGAACCTATCTGTATCTCAGTGCAAACGCACAACGCCTCCGATGCCAATGTGCCTGTTTAAGTGTGTTCTGAACAGCACATGTAGGATTTTGACGCCTACCACATGTACATTTCATGCTATGGAATAGAAGGTCCACAAGTTATACCTACATAAGCCTTTACTGATCCAGGTGCTCAGCTTGTCCGAGAGATGGGGGAAACAGTTCTTGACAAAATCCTCAAAGGTCACTGTTGCTAAGGCATTGATGCTGGCAGCCACAGTGCTATAGGAAGAGAAAAACAAGAATATGGTCCATGCTCAATAAGGCTGTGTCACCAGTCCACCCTGCTGTTCAGGGCAGACAGACAAGGCAGGCCTCTAGGAAAGGGACATGCAGACATAGGTCCATGTTCTGGAGCTCTCAGAAACAACATGGCCTGTCTACTCATCCTTCAGAGTTTCTTCTGCGCTAATATTCTTTCTATTCTTCCAGAAGCTGCAGCGGAGAAGTTACGTTTTCATGCTTGAATGCCTACTAATTCCCCTTAACAAGATGTTGTAATGAGCTAGCAAGGCGGTATCAGAGGCAGTGTGTGTTCATGCGTGTTTAGTTCTGGGCAGAGGCAGAAAGTATGAACTATCCAAACCCAGAGGTCAGTACAGTTTGCCATTTATTAGTGATTAATTGATTCACACATCCATTTATTCATTCTGCATAACGGGCATGTGAGAGTGAACTACAAAAATATAGAGCTTGGGCTCGGCGCCTGTGGCTCAAGTGGCTAAGGTGCCAGGCACGTACACCCAAGGTGGCAGGTTCGAATCCAGCCCGGGCCGCCAAACAACAATGACAGCTGCAACCAAAAAAATAGCCAAGTGTCGGGGCAGGTGCCTATGGTCCCAGCTACTTAGGAGGCTGAGGCAGGAGACTCGCTTGAGCCCAGGAGTTGGAAGTTGCTGTGAGCTGTGATGCCACGGCACTCTACCCAGGCAGACAGCTTGAGGCTCGGTCTCAAAATAAAAAATAAAAAAAAATATATAGAACTTGTACTCTAACTGGACACAAACATTTAACACCCAGTTATACAACCACTTATAGCTGTGAAATTATTGTGAAGGAAGATAACAAGGTGCTGGGACAGCAGGTCCTACAGAGAGATAAACTGGGAGGTAGTCAGGATGTGACTGCCGGCCCGAAAGGATCCTTGCACACCGGGAAAAAGATAAGGATAAAGGGAAAATTACATATAGATGACTCAAGATGAAAAGGAGCTATTCCATTTAACACCTGAAGCTACCCAGAGTTAGTAGAATGCCGGGAAGCGTAAGGAAGAAAGGGGTACGAGGTGAGACTGGAAAGTGCTCAAGGATTAAAGCTGCATAAAAGCTTTGAGATGCTTTCTCTTACTTTCCAACCAGAATTCAATCTTACCGAGTCTAAAACTCACAAAGGGGACAAAACACCTCTAAGTCTTTGTTTGTTTTCAGGGGGCAGAATAGCTCATTTAATTTCTTATATAGACCAGGAATATTTTAGCTAATAGAATAGATAATATATTAAATTCAAGTGATGCAAATGACTAACCACAAAAAAGTTTTCAAAAGGAAATAAGCTGATGATCACAGCATGGCCAGCAATTTCTAAGTTTTCCTTTCATATTTATTAAAAACAATTCTTTTATCCTCCTTTGGAAGACAAGCTATAACTCTGCCTTCCAGAAATGACAGATGTAGTAAGTAAAAACTTCTCCAGAGCCTCTTGTGGGAATTGAAGTGCAGTGTTTTGAGGTACCACTCGCATTTTCTTATATTCAAAGCATGTTATGTGTCCCCTGCCAGACTCCTCTTCAGTTTTCAGTTTTAAAAAGGTCAAATAAGGGCAGCGTCTATGGCTCAGTGGGTAGGGCATTGGCCCCATATATTGAGGGTGGTAGGTTCAAACCCAGCCCCCGGCCAGCTATAACAGCAATGAAAATTGTAGCAAAAAATAGCCAGACACTGTGGCAGGTGCCTATAGTCCCAGCTACTTGGGAGGCTGAGGCAAGAGAATAGCTTAAGCCCAAGAGTTAGAGATTGCTGTGAGCTGTGATGCCATAGCACTCTACCGAGGGCAACAAAGTGAGACTCTGCCTAAACAAAAAGGCAAATAAGTAAAGAAGATAATCAGATAAAGGGAACTTCTGTGTTCCCAACAACTTGGTCTCAAAATACATCTTGTAAAAGTTTTAAACATCAGGGTTAATCCTTGAATCCTTTGGGAGAGAGTGTGCAGAAAGCTAAATTTTGCCCAGAAGGGTCACATTTGTAGACCTTTGCTGGGTTGCTTTGGCAGTCAGGTGTATCCATATGTCAATTCTTCAGATTCAGAGTTGCTGCAAGATGGTGGAAATCTTTTTGGTTTTTGCCCTATCCCTCAAGTACCATCTCCCCATTCTGTTCTCACTCCTATCTTTCCCTTGCCATATCTCCACAGCCTTCTTATGGAGCTGCTGTTATGTGGATAGTAATCTTTACTAGTTTTATGTAAATTATGACATATCTGTGCGGTGTGTCTCATCCTTGGAATTTTTGAACTTGGGAAACCTCTTCATAATCTCATCAGTGTCCAGCTCTTCAAACTCATCCCATCTTCTGTAATCCCTGTGCCTTGGAGTCCAACCCTTCTCTCTGTTTCTCAAATACCCCATACAGTTTATCTCCCTGTGACTCTGGTGTTTGCTCTTCCCTTGCCTGTGGCAGACCCTGCCTGTGATCTTCACATAGCTGGCCTCTCTGGGCCCTTTACATCCCCACAAGAACATCCCATGCTCAGAGAGAAGTCTCCTCAGACCCTGTTGTAATTAGAACCCATAGTCCTCAACTGTTTCTGGAATAGCACCCTGTTATTTCCTTCATTGGATAATATCTTGTTTAGTATTTTTTTTTTTTTTTTACTTACACGTTGTCCAAATCTGTTAGAAAGTAAACTCTGTTATGAGGGCAATGCTTATATCAATCTTGTTCTCTGAAGTATCCCCAATGTCACCAGCTGTGCCTGCAACAATACAAGCTCTCTAAAATATTTATGAGAATAAATGTATGAACGATTTTGTGTTTAGAATAGTGTCTTTATTTGGGGGATGGAAGTCATTAGCTGTTTCGATGTGCCTTGGAGGATGAGATGAATGAAATGCAAATAAAAGATCTGTGGGAATATACATGCCCCACTAAATGACAAGGATATATTCTCAGAAATTCTTCATTAGGTGATTTCATTGTTGTGTGAACATTATAAAGTGTACTCGCACAAACCTAAATGGTACAGCCTATCTACTACACACCTAAGCTGTATGGCATAGCTTATAGCCCCAGGCTCTGAGCCTGTACAGCATGTTACTGCATTGAGTACTGTAGGCAATCGTAACATAACAGGAAGGATTTGTGCTTCTAAACATGTCTCAACATAGAAGAGGTACAGGAAAAATATGGTATTATAATCCTATGGGACCACCATTGTATGTCCCATTGAATGGGACATTGAATTGGTTGGTGATTGAGTTGGTCATTGAATCAACCAAGAAGTCATTATGCAGAGTCAAATCTATATGACTATAGATAGATAGACAGATAGGTGGATAGATAAATAGATAGATACAGATACAGATATTCTATATTCTATATTCTATATATATACATATATATATATATATATAGCTGTTGAATGAGAAGAACCAAAAGAGTGAGCAGCTTCACGTAAAAGTGATGTGAAATTGTGGGGGCAGTTGGCATAAGATGAGGTTCAGTATTGAGCATAAAAATCTGGAAGAGGGGCATCTTGCTTCTATCAAAGAGAGACTAGGCTCACATCTTGCCTCTGCAGTTTACTAACCTACTGTAGGTAAGTTTTCTATCTTGCTACATCTCAGGATCCTCACCTGAAAACTGATGATGATATTAGTAAGGATCTAGTCTCATATGATAGGGGACCATCACCAAGCAAATAAAAACAAAGCATCTGGCAGGGCAGCTGACACGTGGTGAGTGCTCAGTAAATACTGTTCATGACTACCACCGTCAACCCTGTCATCATTGCCACCATCGTCGTCATCATCTCAGAATATTATCTCTCTACTGACCTCAGAGTTCCACTGAAGGCACAAGCCACAAAAAGTCCTGGCAATCCTGGCATGGTGGAAAATATCTCCATGACAAAGTACGGCATTAGCTGAGGAGGCAAACAACAAAAACAAAAAAAAAAAATGAGTGAGGGAGAGACAGGATGGGTGGTCTTTTCAGCAGTATCTGAAATATGGGGATGCATGATTTTAGCAAAAGGAGATGGAAATTTTATTTTTCATATTTCTTCAAGGTATGCCATTTTCTTGCCTGTTTATCCTAAATGTTAACTGCTAAACCTGTAAACAAACTCCTAAAATGGGTCTTAGGAAATCTTGGTATTATGGCTCTTCTCTGAAGCCAGGTTTGTGGGAGAAGAGCCCCTCTGAGACAGAGCAGGACAGTTAAACACATGTACGAATAGAAGGGAGGGGGCATGAGCATAGTCTCTGTCAATGGAGTTTTCAAACCATGAGTAATTTAGTACATTGCTGTGATGTTGAAGCTATACCGAGAAGACATGATCAGAGGCACTGAGGAAATGAGGGTTCTTTTGTTCAGTATGACATTAAAGCATCATTCCTCAGTCTCGAGATGAGATCTGTAGGAGCCCAAAGGCAGCAGTAACAACCAAAGCTGTGACTTCCAGCCTACTTTCCACCCCCTCCAGCCTGTCCTGGCTCAGGCCTTGTCTTCATGGACAAGGTAAGTTGCCCTCTTCTTTAAATGCTCACTTTGACATATTAGAGCCTGGAGTGTTGTGATGTTACCCTACAGGAGAGGAAAGAAGCTAAGGTCTTGGGGGTTGGGAAGCAGCTAGAGGTTCAGGCAGAAAAAGAGAAAGGCCTAACATTTATCAACAGTGGCCAGAAGTACACTCGTTCCACTGCCCCCCCCCCCAAACCCCTACCTGGTCTGGTGCTGAGATGATGCCAGATGTCCAAGGGTCACAGTCTCTGAAGTAGGTGTACATGATTAACCCAGAGAAGACAGCACACACCAGAATGATCCACAGACCCAGCAAGTTAAAGTACAAGGCCCTGAAAAGAACACAGAAGGCAGTTGGGAGCCTGGATGCCATACTTTATAGCAAAGTTTGTACCTCAAGGTAAAGAATTTGGGGCTTTTTTGCAGGTTAAGTGAAATTCTACGGCCTTCAAGAATCATTACTTTTTCTATTTTTGCTTTTTTGATGTTGTTTGAGAACATTACACTTTTAGACTGATTACCAAATTTAAATAAGATAAGATTTTAAATGGATTCCCCTTTAAAACCTTCAATATGTGTGGTGTGAGATGTATTTTCTTGGATGAAATTTGACATATTAGTCACTTGCCTTATATAACTTCCCGTGATTCTTTTCCCCCTACTCAATTCATAAAGCTGTCAAAAAGCCAACTTACATTTTAACATCTTTTCTTCCAGCGGGATAATGACACAATGTAGAAATAGGTAAGTTTGGGAAATAGTCACTTTGGAGATTAATTCAGTTAAAGGTTAAAGTTGATTTTTTTAAAAAGACAATAGTACCTGTGAAAAACTTAGAATTGTCTTACCCATATTAGGTGAAGCAATTCATTTAATTTTATAGCACACAGATATGCATCATTCCACTCTGGGTGCTTTGTGGTACCCTATGGGTATTTTGTATTTGTTACTGTCCTTGGAAAGTCAAAATTTTACTCATTTTCTTAATCCCAGGGAAGACTTGAAAGTGGACTGGCCTTACATTGGTCTGAGAGAACAAACAATCTCATTGTGGGGAGAGTCACAGGGCGCCAGGAGAGCAACATTGGACATTTTCTTAGATGGGGTCTTTGTTTGAAGGGAATGGGAGACATCTACATTCAAATGTAAGAACACACATTCATTTCAAAGCCCTCTAAAACCTGGAGTGTATAGGTGTGCCTGTCTTTCAGGAGACTCTTACATCAAAGTCCTCATTTATAAAGCAAATATGATTGCTAATTATCCCATTTAGAAGAATTTTTAATTTTACATTTAAAAAGTTTTTATCTCAAAGGTTACTTTGGGGGGGAGGTATTTTAACCTTGCATTTGTATTTGTTTGGTTTTGTTCAGCGGGGGGTGGGAATATAATTGCCAGGTAAAATGATCACTAGTCTAACCGCATTAATCTCACTCTTGCTCTCGGCCATTCGGGTGTCTGCTCAGGTTATCAGCTGGAAAGGCCTCCCTGACCATCCTGATCTGAAAAAGCCACTCGCTGCTCTCTTACCAGTTCCTTCTCCTTGTAATGATTCATGTCACTACACCATTTATCATAATCTGAAATGCTGTAATATAGATATTCATTTACCATTTGTTTTCCCCCAGTCAAACACAGAGCTTCATCTCCAGGCATAAAATAGGTCTGGCATACAGCAGATAAAAATTTATTTTACTTTTGGTAAGAAATGATGGAACAATTAAATGAATGGTAGAAATTCATCACAATATGATCATACACTTTACATGATTTTTTTGTTTGTTTGTTTTGAAAAGAACATTGGACTTAGGAGTCAGAAGACTTTATCCTTAGCAACTGCGTGACCTCAAGTGAGTCACCTAAAACTCTGAGTCAGTTACAACATCTGTAAAAAAAAGTGTAACACACTTGCCTTGCTTTTTATTATACGGCTAATATGAGGATTGAATGAGTTACGCACTGTCAAAATCTAGCAAGGTAGAAGATATTCATACAATATCCAAAATTCACCATTCAGCTATGGAAAATGATAAACCCCTCTTGATAAACCCCTCTTGATAAAATATCAAGAGAACATTAAAGTCATTGTATTTTGACTTGTTTCTCTTTAGAAATGGACTCTGATTGTTTCTCTTTAGAAATGGACTCTGATTCTAGAGGGCTAATTCTCCTATTTGTAAATAGGCTTCTTCATTGATTCATTGAAAATATATTTCTTGGAGATCTCTTGATCTTTTAGGCATGAGAGGTCTAGAAGGGGATATAGAAGGCAGCAATGAAAAAAAAATGCTCCCTCTGGGAGATTAGATTCTGGAATTAGAGGCAGGTAATAATCATGAAGTAAAATAAACACATACGATATTTTAGATATAAGAAATATGAGGAAAATAAGGGGAGGGGAACCAAAGTGACTGTGCGTGGATGTGCTCTCAGGGGGACTGGAAGATGTTGCTGTGATACCAACTGCTCCTACCCTCACAACACCATTTACTCCCCAAAGTCCTAAAGGATAAACTGAGGCTGAGAAACAGAAAAAGTCAGCTTCTAGGAAGCACCTATAAGGGACTTGATAAGTGGGATTACTGCTCAATGCAAGGAAGAGCTAGCTTAAGCTGTGTTTTCTGAATAATCAGCATTTCTGGGCATGTAATTAAATATACTGACTTTCTCCCATGGCTCACTGTTCAGTATGAACTATCTGGGTCTATTTTTACATACATATTTTAACAAATGGATTTTCCTTAAGTACCAAAGTTTTTTTTAAGCCTTAATGGAATGTTTTACGTACATTAGGCTCTCAGATAATGAACACAAGAATATTTAATCAGCATTCTGCTGTGCCTCCTGGGTGAAAGTCCATGGGCGGCTAGCTCTGAATGGCCTTTAGTGAGCCCAGCAGTGCCCTTGAGTCCCCAACTGTGTGACAAATGAGAGCCTTCACCATGTGCCCCCCCAGCAGTCTCCCCTTCAGTGCTGTGCACGTCAACTGTACTGACCCTTTTCACTGATCTCTGGCCTGAATGTATGAACCCAAACAGTGCTAATTCTCTCAGGGAAGACTTTTCTCTCTTGTTTTCAACCCCTTTTAAAAACATGAAAGAGGGAAGTCTTTTCTAAAGAGAGTTTTTATTCTTCCTCTTTCCTTATTCTCTCCCAAATTACTATCACAGTTCTGATCCCTTCATGAGAGAGGGAACGTGTGGAACCATGAGTGTCCTCAATGCTTAGGAAATTATGTATATTTCTTTATTCACGACTATTCTTTTCCACCATTTTCCTACCCATTAACTACTAATGCAACAAATTCCTAATTCCAGGCAGTTATAAGAATGGGATTATGTTGATTTTGCTTGAATTAAACTAATCTGAGAAATGAGGCTTCCAGATACATACACAGGAATATGTGTGAATGCATGGATATATATACACACACATATGTCTGTGCGTCCCTGTGTGTCTACACACACAAGTATGAAATTCTCAAAGCATTACTTTGTTTAAAAAGTAATTTTTATTTTTATTTAAATATTTATTTAAAAACATTTTATAAGCACAGGCATTGTTGTTGATCTTGGTGGAAAAATGACGAAAAAGATTTGTTTTCTAACTTTTAGGTAGTAACATAGTGATAGGGGAAAATTAGGCATATTCACACACAAAAAATAATATAACACAAATTCATAAGATTTTTTTTTTTTTGGCTGGGGCTGGGTTTGAACCCACCACCTCTGGCATATGGGGCTGGGTTTGAATGCGCCACCTCCAGCATATGGGGCCAGAGCCTTACTCCTGTGAGCCACAGGTGCCACCCCAAATTCATAAGATTTTTATAAAACTAGATTTAACAGTGTTATTATTTATTGTACCAAAGGTTTCTTCTCTTTACAGATGCAGTCAACTCTAGTTTATTTTAAAGCAGAATTTTAAATGAATTTTTAAAACAAAGTCTACCAGCTTTTGGAGTAATACAGCTATTTAATAAAGAGATGATTATGTGTATGGAAGGTTTGTTATACTGTTATTTAATGTAATAAGATTTGAGTATGTTCCTAGTGAATTGATGAAGTTACCAGATAGTGTTTTCATTATCCCAAGAGCTATGCCATATATAAATAGTAACATTACAGTTCTTCTTTTGGAATTCAGCTTACGAAATGGTTGAATCATTTCCAGGCAATCTTATGTTTTATTCAGTGAACATAAGAAACTTTGCATTGGAAGTATTTTAAAGTCATTTTGGGGAAAATTCACAGTGACTGTTTCTCTAAGAAGAGTTTAGGGTACCCTGGTTAGGCTGGGAGGGCTGAAACCTCAGGAAGTAGCACTAGGAATGAAATGCCATTTTAAATGCAGTTCTGGCTTATTTATGCCAGTTTTGCAAAAGAACATGTAAGGGACATTGGTCCTTGGTGGAGAGTTGAGACTGACTTGTAGAGCTTGAAAAAGGCTCAACACTCAGGCCTCTGGGTCTGCCCTTCAGAGCAAGCCGGCCTGCTGAGAGTTAGAACAGCTAAGGCCCCTTTGTCGCTTGCCACATTATCCTGTATTTTCTTCTTTTTTTTCTTAACCTCTCCTTGGCAACTTTAAGGGTACAAACATCTGTTAAAGTAAATTAAAATAGATACCACGCCTGAAAAATCCCTGGGCAGACAAAGCCAGTGAAGCTTCATAAGTAACTACATTTGATTTGCAAGTACTGCAAGTGAATCTTCCCTTGGGCTCTTTCTTGAAAATGCCTATATCAAAGAAAAATGAAACGGAAGGCTCACCAATCAGAAGTCACCAACTAACTTAGTTAACCTGTGAGGGAATTTCCAAGAGAACCAAGTAAGCCAGCTACCGACCTACAGCAAATATTTTCTTTGTTTGTCTAATACACGCAAGCATCCTGCTGTCATGGTCCCTCAGCAGAACCCAAGCCACCATCTCTTTTGTAGCTTCCTGAGTCGTAAATCACTATTTGCTCAAAGAAGCTCTTTAAAATTCAATTGTGCCTCAGTTTAACTTTTAATATATCCAAACGAAAAAATACTGGTTAAAGAGCCCAGATTCTGCATCAAATAAATAGGGGCATCTCATCCTGAGAACCGAGAGAAGAAATGTGCAGTGTTTACTTCCTCATTGCTCCCTCCCCCAGTACCTGATTTAACCTAGTCATTTCCCAGTAAACGGAGGCAGCAAGTAATTGAGAGAAAAAGCAAGCAAACTTCAGTTTACACACCAGCTCTGCCTCTTCTTTGCTGAAAAGAAAGTAGTAATGTCTGCTTCAAAAAGTCGAAGGAATTAAAGGAATCTCTCTGTTTTTCTCTCTTACCCACAGACTAGCAGAAAGTATGTAAAAAGTATCCAGTGAGGTAAGAGAAGACATTTACATTTTTCTTGATTCATAACTTACAGCTTAGCATGTTTTTCTGTTTTGCAAGAGATGCATCGCTGGATGGTCGATTGATTAACTCCATAGATTCCAAGCCACGTAAACGTCCCTCCCACTGAGATTGTCCAAAAAGTGTGCCGCCTGAGAGGATCTACATCAAAGCTAGGAGGCAGAGAGAAGTGAGTAAACAAAGATGTTTCTTGGATGTCCAGTTATTATTGTAGGTGATGAGGTCATGCAGCTAAGTGTTTATAAGGTAGCATTGGGCATACTCAAATATATTTAGTCGGGATCCATTTGCCGCTTGCTCCATCACTTGGTGTATGCCACCAGTTTGAGCCGATCCTTGAATGAGAACCGTTAAGAAGCCCACGATCATGACGACCATCTGAAATGCGTCTGTCCACACCACTGCTTTTAATCCACCCTGAAATGAAGAGAGCAGATGTGAGTTCTTGAAACTGAAGCCTGCAACTCTTCCAACTCAGCCCAGACCCCCTGCTAGGGCAATCACTCATTCATTCAGCAACAGGCACAGAGCACCTTTTATGTGCCAAGTACTATCTCAAGCATGGGAGTAAAGTAGCAAGCAGAAGAGGCCCCTTCCTTAACTTCATAGAGTTTGTTCTTTGACAGAAGCAGATATTAGACAACATGATAGTCATTTATCTAAAACTGTGGAAAGTGCAGTCAAGGACAGGTCATTATAGGGTCATATACCAGGTAATCCAGAACTGGGTCTTGGGGATATGATGTTCGAGCTAAGTTCTGTAGAATGACTAGAAATTTACTAGGTACAGAGGACACAGAGGAGAACGGACCAGCATGTGTGAAGGAGGAAATAAAAGAAAGCTAGAATATACAGGTCAAAGGATGCTGAAGGCCCAGAGAGTTTTCTGAATATGCTAGAGGCCAGAAAACACAGACCCTGACAAGGCCACACAAATGATTTCTCAAGCGCAATAAGAGATTATTAATGAGAGCTGTATGAGGTGAGATTGGGGGTTTTGTTTATAGAAGTTTCAATGGCAATTGTGCAGGGAATACATTTCTAGACTGCAGAAGAAAAAGAGTCGAGAGACAAACTCACAGTGTATTTCACTCATCCACGCCCAAGATGACTGGCAGTTTGAAGTAGAGTAGAGATGGAAAGAAGTGGATGGATTGGCAAGATATTTAGGGCATAAAATCAACATAGCTGTGATTCATGGAAGCAGGTGATGAGAAAGTAAGAGAATTAAGGATAATTGCTTCAGTCAAGCTTCCACAACTTGAGTTGTTTTTTTTTTTTTTTTTAAACTAATAACGGTGAATATACTTTGGGAAACTGAGGTGGTAGATGCTAAAAAAGAAGAGAGAAACTGAGAAGGACTGTTAGCTTGCAGACATTCATGGAGGAAGGGGCTTTCAGAGCTACAGGATGGTCACATAGTTGAGCAAACTATAGTTTCAGGGGAATGAATATGATAGTAGAACTGAGGCAAGAGTTTAGAGCAGGTGTCATTGAATTTGCTTCCCTGTTAGCCCACCTAAAGAATTTTAAAGAGGGGGTGGTGAGAAGAAAGAAAGAAACAGCTAAATCCAACAGCCAACAGCTAAATCCCTTCCCCAGGGATTTATTAATGGAGGTCTAGGTTGGGCCCTGTCCTCTGTGTCTTTTGAAAGTTCCCCAGGTGGTTCTAATGTAGAATTACAGTTGAGAACATGTGGACCAAGAAGAAAGGAGAGAGGATCCTGTAGTATTCCAGGTATAGACGAGCTCATAGGACTATGGAGAAGGCAGAATGAGCAAAGAGGGAAAAAGGAAATGAAGTGATGTATTAAAATGTGCTTTGAAAATGAATGAGTGCTGTGAAATGAAAAGATGTGGTATTTTTAACGTTGAAAATCAGAATCATCATCCCTGGTTCCTCCTCCGGAGTGTCAAGAACTTCAGTGAAAAGATGACAGGCGTCATCCTTAAGAAGGAAAGAAGACGCTAGGGTTGCCCCATCTTTTCTTTTGTAATTAAAATTAAAATTCAATTTAAAAAATAGACGTTAAAGTACCTGCCAAAGGCAATGTATTTATATATTTTGTTCAAATTCAAGCTCGAGGAATAATACATTTCTTACCTCCCACCTGCTAGGGAGCACTCTTTTAATTTCCTTTAAAGACCTTAAGCCTTCCAAACCCATTTCTCAGTATCAGATTGCTATGAAGACCAAATTATGAAAAGCTTCTGTTTCCAAAAGCTTGTTGGTTATACAAAAACATGCATAAATCTCAACATCAGCTAGACATGAGGCAAGAGAACAACCCAGCTTATCAAATATTCATCCAAAGGCAGATGAAAGCCAACATGAAGACTTTCTGCTCCTTCCTGCAGTGAGATTATCTTTTTCTTTCTCTCTCACTCTCTCTTCTGTAACTCACACCTATGTGAGTTACACAATCACACACACACCCCATTAAGCTTCTATAAACTGATTGTGCCTTGTGTATCACTTACCTATTTAATCAGTTTATGTTGTTTGGGGTCTAATATTCACCTTAATAAATTGCAACCCCCTGGATAAGAAGAATCACACCCCTCCCCCCTTCCACTGGTTATTTTAGACGCTATGCAACCACAGGTTTAGCAGATTAAAGAGACCACCCTATGAGCAAAGGTGTTAGATAAATAGGCCACCATTTTGGTGAGAAGCTCAGCTGAAGCCTCTGACCTGGGCATAGAGAGGAGAGGTGGAATAGAGGTAGAGTGAGTGGAGAGTAGGTGAATGTATCAGATTCACATAATGAAAGATTTCCAAGACTACGTACGCTGAGGAGCTTTTACTGTATCTTGTGAACAATGGGAAGTGAGAAGAGGATTAGGTCAGTCAAGTGGCATGAGTAAATGGATGTTTTAAGAAGATTAATCCAGGATAGCGCCTGTGGCTCAAAAGGGTATGGCGCTGTTCCCATATGCCAGAGGTGGCAGGTTCAAACCCAGCCCCGGCCAAAAAAACTGCAAAAAAAAAGAAGATTAATCTGACAGAGGCAGAGGTATGCAGGGTGTGGAAACCAGAAGAGACTGGAAGTACAGAACCCGTTAGGAAGTAGTAAATTTAGTTCATTTTAGCTTATTGTGGTTATTAAAATATCCAGACTTGTTTCTGAGGTTGCAGTTTTTGGTTTCAACTAGTCCTACTTTTAAAAATACTTGCTTTCTTCTCGCTTCGATAAAATGAGGGTTTTTTTTTTTAATTTTAATTCTTTCTTTCTGGTTTGAATGTTTTGTTGAAATGAATCTCCTTGAAATTTTGCCAGGCTTTTAAAATACAGAGTCAAGATTTAAGCCTTGCCCTACTCTCCAACAATTCAAGGATTATAAAACCTTTAAGGCTGATTCCTCTCTTCCTGATTTACATGCCTTTGTTTCACAGTTTAGGAGACATTATTTTTAATTCTACAATTACATATGATAATTATTAAGATCATTGGTCTACTTTATATTTTAAATTGTATAGTAATATGTAACATTCGAAAATATAGTATATACATTATAAGGCAAAAATTAAGCATCGAAATTATTTGACTAGATTTACTAAATGTTTTCTATTCTCTTTCCTTATCAGCTCTGTGTCCAATTTCAACCGTCATTATCGTTTTCCGCCTTCTGTCAGTGCTTCCTCTACATTTTTGGCGGGTGAAGAACTGATGTCTTTGAAATTTTTCCATCTGACAATCACATTTTCTTTATTGAACTAGAATCTATTTTCTATTTGAAATAGGGATTATACCCATTTCTTTCTCCTTCAGCTCCTCTTCTTCCCCATGTCCGTCTTCTGTTCTCAGTGCTAAATTCTCTTGGCTGTTTACACTCAACTCCTGAAAGATAGTTTTGGTGGAAACACAGGTATAGGTTGCCAGTTGTTTTTCCTCGGTGCTCTAAATGCGTTATCCTTTTGTTTCTGGCTCCCCTGGCTGTTGCTGAGGAGTCTGACACCGGTGACCCTTTGCCAGTGTCTTGTTCTCTGCTCTCTGGCTCCTTTTCAGATATTCTACTTATATTTGCTGTTCCATGAAATCATGTTATCAGTGCATCTAGATAGGGACTTCTTTCTTTTTCTCTTGTAAGGTCGCACTTTCCAAATCAATAAATGTTTGTCTTTCACCTTTTCTAAAAAAATGGCAAGCTATCATTTCTCGAAAGAGTTCATCCCCTCCATTCTCCCGGAATCTCTCCTCTGAGATTCCAGCTGGACACAAATTAAACTTTCTGATCTTGATCCTCCGGATATCTCTGTTTCTCTTTCATTTTTTGATCTCCTTGTCTCTCTATTATACTTTGGATCATTACTGTAGATACAGTTTTTAGTATATCAATTTCCTCTTCCAGTGTACCTACTCTTTATCATAGTAATTATATTGTGTGGTCATTCCTGGTGCTTATTCATCTTTGCAATTGAATCACTTATTTATTTAAATTATTAAATCTATTTTTTTATTAAATCAGAGCAGTGTACATTAATACTGTCATGGGGTACAGTGTACTGTTTCTGTATACAATTTGAAATACTTTCATCCAACTGGTTAACACAGCCTTCATGTCTTTTCCTTAGTTATTGTGTTAAGACATTTATATTCTACATTTAGAGAGATTCACATGTACCCTTATAGGATGAACCATAGACGTGATCCCACTAATCACCCTCCCTCCACCCATCCTTGCCCCTCTCCTCCCCTCCCTCTCCCCTCTCCCCATATTCCTGGGCTAAAATTAGGTTATAGCTTTCTTATGAAAGCTACAAATTAGTTTCATAGTAGGGCTGAGTACATTGGATACGTCTACATATTCCAATTCTAAAATACGCTGTTCTTCAGAGGCCAGATCTCATTGGTTGTTTTTGCTGATTCTTAGTCATAGTACCTTGCTATTTCATATTTCCAATAATATTTTATTATAAGATCATTGTTGGATCTTTACCTGTGTGTGAATATCTTATAGTTCTAAGTTGGGCTCTTCCTCTAAAGCAGATTTGCACATTTTTCCTTGCAAAAGCCAAAGTGCACCACTGAACTGGAAACCGCTTCAGCTCTCCGCATTAATCCCAAGCTCAGCCACTCTGCACTGGCACTGATCCAAGGCTCCATACCTCAGTAGGGGTACTGGTATCCACACCTGCCTTCAGGTCAGTCCCATCCTTCTTGTCTTCCCACCACATGCTCCTTCCAAACACCAGCCTTCAAAATCCATATATTCAAAATTATTTTGTTGTTATATTATTTTGTTACTTTGTTTGGGGGGAAGAAGTTTTACTGGGGAGTTATGATATCTTTTGTAAGGCCAGAAATGCATCAAAAAGTTGTTTAAAGCCAGGTACAGTGGCTTATATCTGTAATTCTAGCACTTTGGAAGCGCAGGAATCAAGACCAGCCCAAACAACAGTGAGACCCTGTCTCTACTGAAAATAGAAAAACTAGCTGGCTGTTGTGGCTGGTTCCTGTAGTCTCAGCTACTTGGGAGGTTGAGGTAAGAAGATCGCTTGAGCCCAAGACTTTCTGGTTGTTGTGAGCTATCCAGGGTGATAGAGTGAGACTCTGTCATTTAAAAAAAAAAAAAAAAGTTGTCCTATCTGATGTCTAGCTGTCCTTTCTATGGACAGGTATTTCATAGGAACAGATCTGTCATACATGCTCAGAGGTGGAAAGAGATGGAAGGTATTTTTTAACCTACATAGGAGGAGGTACGTGTCTGAAATAGAATTATGGTAGTGAGAATAGAATGAAAAAAAAAAAGAATGATAAAGCTTTGAGTGTAAGAAACAGTGAAATTTGCAAGTAAGAAAGAGAGATGGCCATTTCAAAATTGCATGCAATCAGGGTAGATGTTACAGAATATGGGATAATGCCAAAATAGATGAAGGATTTCCAATATGATATATTGATTACTTCATTTTTCCCTATAGAAAAGAGAATCTTACTGTCTGGGAACATTGCCATATGTCTCACTGGTTAATTATAGCTCACACTATGAGCTATAATAGTAGTCCAATGTCTAAGGATAATAAAGATTTGAGTTGTAGGGTGTGGGCAAATAATAGGTGTTCCATAAATGTTTATTAAGCTGAGTGTAATAATTATATAAATATGTTGCCGATACCACTCAGAGCATGTGTGAAGCCAAATGATAAATATAAATCAGGCTTATCCATAAGTGAGACAATCTGGTATTTCTTATAAAATACCAGCCCTCCTGTTCACTCATATACATATTGTGTTAATTTTTAACCAGTAGATAATGACATATAAATGCCACCTATGGTTTATGACCATTACTAATGGGCAAACTTTTTTTCTCAGAAGTTGTATAGGATCATCTTTCTCTGAGGAAGGAGGCATTTCCTTCACCAGAGGTTTTGTTATTGGACATGGCTTTCTTGAAATGAGCTCAGAGCCTAAATTCTTTTAATGGTTAGTACCAAAAGACTTTTTTTTTTTTTTTCAAATAAGACAACAGCATCTTCCTGACAAAACTGTGGCAGATAAGCTGGCATACTTCTAGTTTGTTTGGGAATAGCAATTTCTGCTATAATTAGCTGCCTGCTGCTGGAGATTGCCCTTATCCCATTTTAGGAAGTGGTGCTAAATACCTTTCACAGCTAGATACATACCAGGGTACAGTAGAATGTGCAAACAATTCCTGTTGCAAACACAGAGCCCCAGAGATTAAACCCAGTCACTAGGAAAAAGGAAAAATATAATAAAAGAAGTGCCTCTGAAAAAAAGGAAGAGAACAAATTTTTGGAAGAAAAAAGTCACAATTTTTGTCATGATTCTTTGTGATCAAAAATAAAATTGAGTTAGAATTTTCCCCTATTAAATTTTCTCATTTTTGAGAAAGATTCTTTTATTATTATTTCTAGATAGTCCATATATTTCATACCATATTCGGTCCAATTTTCCTCCCTAAAATTCTGTAGCTTCCAATCTTTGGTCCAAATGGATTTTTTTTTCTCAGTTTTTGCCTGGGGCTGGGTTTGAACCCACCACCTCCGGCATATGGGGCTGGCGCCCTAATCCTTTGAGCCACAGGCACCACCCCAAATAGATTTTGATTTTGAGATTTTTTTTTTCCCTTGAGTACTCTGGAAACCACCTAAACATCAACCACGAATTAATATTTCTCAATATAAGCATATAGCCTAGCTAAATTGGTTATTAAAGACTTTCAATGTGGCAGGTATCATTGTAAAACTTATTTTCACTTTTATTTTTATCTTGCCTGTTTGTTTCTAAAATTGTATTCCCTTGAAAACATAAGTATAAGTCTTAATGTAAGTCTTCCAGGCCCCTTTTACTCTTGTATTCACAGTATCCACTTCCTGATGTCACTGAAAAGGGTACTTATTACAGATGACCTTAGCTAGTTGTTGTTCATATATAATACATACATAATATAATGTAATATATAATATAATACATACAATATAATATAATACATATATAATATAATGTTTTTGTTTAAAAAAAAAAAACAAAAACAAGGCAGCGCCTGTGGCTCAAAGGAATAAGGCACCGGCCCCATATGCCGGAGGTGGCAGGTTCAAACCCAGCCCCGGCCAAAAACTGCAAAAAAAAAAAAATAAAACCCAAATACAAACAAAGAAACAAAAGCAATTTAAACTTGATATTGAGAACAATGTGAAGCAAAATCAAGTAACTGAATTATTTTTTCAGTGCTCAGTTTTTAGAGCTTTACATCATACATGGGTCCTTGTGAAGTTTTGAGATACAAAAAAATCAAGAAACATTAAATCCATGATCACAGAAACAAATGAAGCCCTCCCAGCAACCCCAATAAGCCTACCAAGTTGAAACTTGCCCTGGGTGAAATCAGAAAGTATGCTATTGACTCTGTTTCTTGGAAGTGAAATAATGAACCATAACACAGTTTGTCTCAAAACTTTTGTAGAGACCCACATAACATCTTTGGTATGTCATAGCTCCTTAACCAGAGAAACATCTCTTTAACATGATACTTTATGTGTAATTCTCCAAAACGAGAGTTCAGGCATAATAGATGGGGTGGAATGTGCCCCAGAGAATGTCGGTAACTCACCTTGATTAAGTGCCAGAGCAGGGGCGTACACCACCACCCCTGTGTAGAGAATCTGGTGGAGAAACAGGAATCAGGTGAATTGTGAGGAAATGACATGAAAAACTGCGTAGAAATTTCTTTCTGACCTTAGGGATGCGCTTCCTTCAATATATTCAGCCACACACTTCATCCCCATGCCCACTGTCACTGGGTTGTAGAGAGATGCTTAGACGGAGGAAGGGGATGGGATATTCAAGGCAGCTGCTAGTTTGGAGATTTTATGGTTGTTTTGGGCCTGTCTCTAAGAGATACAAAAGGTTACAAGAGGTTTTGATCTACCCTCCCTGTGCCCGCTTCCCTCATGCACGCACATCACAGTGGGCTCTCTACTGACTTCAAGAGATGAGATGTTTCACTAAGAAAAAGAATTATATTCTGGCAATTTGTTGAAACATAGAATTCAGAGTAGAGATGGATAGAATCTGTCAGGAGAAAGTCCTGTGTAGGACAGACTAAAAACATGGGTGATCTGCATAATGAATATATCTTCTAACTCACAGAGTTGCAACCACTACACAGATGGAAATTGGTACCATCTCGTTTTACTTTAAATGCAATGTCATCATTTAGAGCTTGACGTGGGGATTTTCAAATTGTGTGGGCAGGTCAAGGAACATTTTTTTTTTTCCTATTCTCTCTCTTAAAACCTTCATTAGGTGAGTAGGAGTTTGGATTAAGAGGACACACTCTTATCTTCTAGCAGAAAGTATTTTCCTCACAGGTAGGGAACGCCCCAGTGGCATGCCACAGACATGCACAGGACAGCATGAAGCCACTTCAAAGCCTGGAGAGCTGAGCAAGAGTCCATAAGAGAAAAGTAGAAATACCAGTTGGGGATATCGTCTTAAAATAACTTTTGGCAAAACTAGCATTTCTAGTTCAATTCAGTCAACCAATTAAAAAAAAAAAAAAGTCAGTTAACAGAGCATTCCATATGTAAAGCAACTCATACAGGTTAAATAGGAGTGAAATGCATGTTAAGAAAACATGCCCCCCCCCCCTTTGGGGCTTGCAATATGTATTTGTCTGCTATATGTAGTCGAGATCTCTGAGATCTGTGCAATGTGAACACCTCTTAGGGCAGCAGTTCTCAACCTGTGGGTTGCAACCCCTTTGGGGGTCTCCTGCATATCAGACATTTACATTACAATTCGTAACAGTTACAGTTATGAAGTAGCAACGAAAATAATTTTATGGTTGGGGGTCACCCAACATGAGGAACTGTATTAAAGGGTTGCGGCATTGGGAAGGTTGAGAACCACTGTCTTAGGGTAATCACAATCTTGAAAGTGCTATCCTTGGGAAAACAGTATCTTCTTGGCATTAGGTCTGTCCTTTTATTGAGGTAATTGCCCCCCAAATAAACACAACTGTGTCTTATAACCCCGCTGTTTGTTTCCACCTCTTACCGTCTGCACGATGTAGATGACTGTTGCTGCATAGCGAACGGGTTTGTTGAATCGTAGTTGCAAGTACTAGAAAAAACAGAAAGACACAGAGCCAGGGAGTTTTACATAAGAGCTGTTAAGAAGGCACTTTTTCCCCTTGAGAGTCCTTCTTTAGACTCCAAAAATTTTATGCTTTGGATTTATAATGTGATTTTAAGGTATGTGTCCTTATGTACAACAGGTGGTAAAAAGAAAGCATAGCGTATGAAAAATCCAAGCTCTATCAAAACTCAATTCCTTTTCATGCTTTTCATAATGGTCAGAGAAGATAAGTGGATTGTTTGAAGTAAAATTCAGGTCTTTTTCCTTTTCTTTCTTTCTTTTTTTTTGAGACTGAGTCTCACTATATCGCCCTGGGTAGAGCGCTATGGCGTCACAGCTCACAGCAACTTCAAACTCTTGGGCTTAAGTGATTCTCTTGCCCCAGCCTCCCAAGTAGCTGGGACTACAGGCACCCACCACAACGGCCGGCTATTTTTTGTTGCAGTTGTCATTGTTTAGCTGGCCCAGGCCAGGTTCGAGCTTGCCAACTTCACTGTATGTGGCTGGCACCCTAACCACTGTCCTACAGGTGTTGAGATTAAAATTCAGGTCTTGGCTCGGCGCCTATAGCTCAACCAGCTAAGGCGCCAGCCACGTACACCTAAGGTGGCGGGTTCGAATCCCCAGCCCAGACCCGCCAAACAACAATGACGGCTGCAACCAAAAAATAGCCGGGTGTTGTGGCGGACACCTGTGGTCCCAGCTACTTGGGAGGCGGAGGCAGGAGACTCGCTTAAGCCCAGGAGTTGGAAGTTGCTGTGAGCTGTAATGCCACGGCACTCTACCCAGGGGGACAGCTTGAGGCTCTGTCTCAAAAAAGAAAAAAATAATAAAAAATAAAATTCAGGTCTTCTGACTCTCTTCCTAGAAGTCTTCAAACTGGGTCTACTGAAGCCATTAATTCCTTTTGTATTTTTACTGCATCAAATTCATCTCAATCCTTCACTTCATTCTTCTTGGATTGCTCCTGAAGCTTCCTAATGAATCTCCCTAATACCCATCCTTGTCTGTTCATCTCATCAACCACATACCTGCCACATTGATTCCCTTAAAACAGAGCTCTAATCACGTCATTCTTTTCCTTAAAATCTTCAATGATTCTCTGCCGTGGACAAAACGAAGCACACATCTCAGGGTTGGTCCTCCAAACCCTCCGTTGTCCAGACCATATCTTAAGTCATACCAGTAACCCTTACATAGATTACCCTCCGCATAAAATCATCATTTATTGTTCAACTAATATACTCATACTTTTCCATCCATCCTCAAACTACGGCCCACGGGTGTTTTTGCAGCCCACCTAGGACATTTATCTGGCCCGTTGGGTGTTTTTGCCACCGCTGCCTGTCCTGCTTAGCTGCCGACTCGTCCCATGGTCCATAGTCTGGCCCTCCAACAGTCTGAGGGACAGTGAACTGGCTCCCTGTTTAAAAAGTTTGAGGACCCCTGTTTCGACCTTTACTTTGTTTAGGTAGGACTCTCGATGTAAGAGCGTCTTCCCTACAGTTTTTACCAACTGTTAGTCATTAAGCCTGAATTGTCCAATCACTATCCCTATCCCACTCAAACTTTCTCCTCTGAGCTCTCAGGCACTAATGCCAAAACTTTTCATAGTTACCAGTTGCTGTCGTGTACTTTGGTGTTGGGTTTGTTTCTCTTCCTAGATTCATTTTCTATGAACGCCGCCGTAAGTTACCACCAGTTATTGGCTTTAAACAACAGACAGACCTTGTTCTGAAGGTCAGAAGGAGAAAATCAGGGAGCCCAAATCAAGGTCGTACTTGCTCACGAGGCTCTAAGGAAGAGTCTGCTTATGTAGACTCTTTGAGTTTTTGGTGCTGGTTGCCTCATGCCAATCTCTACTTCTGGAGTGGCGTTGCTTTCTCTTTTGTCTCTGAAATCATTGGCTACCTCCCTGTTATAAGAATATATAGAGTTATATTTCTATTGAGGGCCCCCCTGAAGGATCCATAATAATCTTCTCATCTCAAGATTCTTAATTTAATCATGTTTGTGATGCTCTCCTTCTTTTTATAAACTACGGATGTTAATATTCACATCTCTCAGGAATAAAGCATAGATAAGTATTTATTTGGGAGGAGGCGGTGAGATGTTTTCAGCCTGCCACATTTCTCATCTTTGATACATATCAGCACCGTTCTGTCTTATTCATTTTTGTCAGGTATGAATTCATTCATTCAACAAATATTCGTCACTTACCTTTCGTGTTGCATCCTGAATACAATAGTAAGCAAAAATAATATAGCCTATGTCGTAGAGAATCTTAGAGATGTGGTGAAGGGACCATAAACAAATATTTAATAAGTAAAGTTACAATGGTGGCGATACACGCTAGAAGAAGAGCTACAATTAGCTGTGAACATACATAGCAGGATCGGATTTACTGTTAGAGATAAGGAAAGGGTTAGCTAAGTATTCTAGAAAGACATTAGTGTATGTCTCCCAGTGCATAATAAACCTATGTATATCAAATGAAAAATATATATGCTAAGAGTAGCAATGGCTTGAGGATTCAATGTCTTGTTAGTAGTTTCTATGGGTAGTAGTTCTTTCTTTTCCGAATTTGAGGAAAGTCATTTTGATTAAATCAGAGGTTAACTACTGCTTTGTCCTTTTCCTAGAAATAAGACACACATGTTGTTTCAAGGCCCTTCTTAAAACAAGGAACTCTTCTTGGTATAATCGTGACTCTATTTCACACTAACCCACATTTCTCAGCTTTCCCTGGTAGATCCCTCCATTTCTCAGGTAAAAGAAGCACCTTATTTTCGGGCTTTCTTTCCTCAGATTATACATTCAGTGGATTGTGAGTTAGGTTGTAGCCCCGTGAATATGTAACTCATATTCACAGGATATAAGGAAAGTATTCTTACACAAGAAGGGAGGTCGGTGAGGAGACAAAGTCTCAACTATCATAAGATAAAAAAGACTGCGAAACTTCTGTGAGGAGGACAACTTGGGTTCAAATCCCTTGCCCTTGGGAAAATGAGTTACTCCCATAGGCCATGTCATGGGTTTTCTCTTCCTAAGATAGATGATCATATGAATCAAATGGCATAATGTATTATAACACCAATATTGGGCTAGAAATACAGTGGAATTTAGTGACTGTGGTAGTCTCTGTGGGGTCATCACCCATAGCACATTGACACTCATTGTTCCAGTCCATGCTGATGACATGGAAATGTGCCTGTGATTATATGCTTGAGGGATTTTTCTCAGCCCTGGCACAAGGAAAATAATAAATGCCCAGGGTGTTATCATTGGCGTTTAGCCAATGAATAAGTGGAGCTGTATGAAAAAGACACCCTGGCTTCCTTACCTTTCAGAGAGGACAACCTAGAGACATGTTCTACCCTGTCTCTTGAGATCCCCAGTGCAGCGGAGCCCTTGTTGCTCACAGTGGCAACCTGCTCGAAAGTGCCCTTCTTATTGGCTTCTTTTCCTTCCCTGTTGCACTGTCATTTGCCTGCAGGTGCTTACGGGGATCATATCCCCCCAAATCATTTGTATTCAAATCTTTACCTCGGGCTCTGCTTCTGGGGCAGCACAACTTCAGACAGTGATATTTCCAGCCAATACAATACAAGTGGGGCCTTGAAAATGTACAAATGTTTCTGTAATGAGGTGTGTCCGCTTGACAATAGGAACTGTTTTGTATCACGTAAAGAACCCAGGTTAGCCTACCAAAGAAGAGACAAAATGTGACAAAGACAAGTGGTCTCATCTGCGTCCCTCTAGACCAGAGAACCCCTCATCAGTGCACTACCTGACAGAAGTCACATGGATATCCCAAGAGAAAGAAGCAGAAGAGCCTTCTGGGCTGCAGGTAAACCAGGCCAAATGGCTGAGCCATAGCATTGTGAGCAAATAAATGGTTGTATTTAATACATTTATTTTTGAATGGTATGTAGCAACAGACAACCAATGAAAAATTGATTCTAGGGCGGCACCTGTGGCTCAAAGGAGTAGGGCGCTGGCCTCATATGCGGGAGGTGGTGGGTTTAAACCCAGCCGCAGCCCCAGCCAAAAACTGTAAAAAAAAAAAAAAAAAAAAAAATTTAAGTTGATTCTAGAAGTGGGGAATTATAACAAAATCCCCAAATTAGTAGTATTAGCTTTGGGACAGAGTGGCACATGAAGTCTGGGAAAGCAGAAAGGAAAGTAATCCTGAAACATGGTAAATCCATGAGAATATTGATATAGGAATCTCTGGAAAAGTTAATGATTTTCATATCTCAGGTTAGTTCCACTCAATTTAGTAAAACAATGTAATTGGGAAAAGGCCGTATGAGCAAAGACCTGAATCAGAGGTCAGGTTCCCTGATTTCCGTGTTGAAATTTGCTGATCTCTTGCTTTGTCAGCTAAATAAGTCTCTGTGGTTTCTCATCTAAGAAAGCAGAAGCACTATTCCAACTGCCTGATTCTGTCTATGAAAGAATGTAATCACTTTTCCTTTTAACACATTCACTCATTCATTCAGTGGGCATCTTTGGTGTGTGTATAAACTGTTACTGTTACTGGAGTCAAAATGCAATGGAAGACTTGCATGCCTCACACCTGCTTTTAAAAGTACCAGAGGTGAATCTTGCAACATTTTTAGACTATCAGATTTGATCCAGCTATACTCTTCTCCATTTTTGAAAACAGCAACTCACTTTTCACGTTGGTTCAAGCCCAAATAACACAGGGCCAACCTTACTCCTCTCTTTCTCTCATTTCCAAACATCGAACTTGTAAAAGAATCCTGGTGCCTACCCCCACTTTAAAAATACATCCACTTGGCTCGGCACCTGTGGCTCAAGTGGCTAAGGCACCAGCCACATACACCTAAGGTGGCGGGTTTGAATCCAGCCCAGGCCTGCCAAAAACAATGATGGCTGCAACCGAAAAAAAATAGCCAGGCATTGTGGTGGGCACCTGTGGTCCCAGCAACTTGGGAGGCGGAGGCAGGAGACTCGCT